CCTCAGCCTCCCAAGTGCTGGGATCTCCACAAAGAAGTACTTTGTTGGAATTTTGGATGGGATTGCACTGAATCCATAGCTCAAGTCAAGAAGAACTGACATCTTGACAATATTGAGTCTTCCTATCCATGATCATGAATATTTCTCCATTTATTTCTTTGTTGATTTCTTCCATCAGTGTTTATTTTTTCACTTTTTTTTTTAACAGGAGGGGATTTTATTTGTCATGATGGTGGGTTTCATTAAGTTGTCTTCATATGTACATACTATACTTCGACCCTTTCACCCCTAAGTATCATTTCCTTTCCTCCTCCCTCTTCCACTGATCCCCCTTTTTACATTCATGTCCCATTATTATTATTATTATTGCCATTCACATAGATCTGGTGCATATTTTCCTAGATTTATATGTATTTCATTATCAAGGGTGCTGATGTAAATGGAATTAGGATTTTCAGTTTCATTCAGTTTCACAGGTACACAGGAACATGGTTGATTTTTGTATATTAACCCTTTACCTTGCCATGCTCTTTATTTTATCCATTGGAGCTCTTAGCATATTGGTCATGATTATTTGAATTTACTGTCAGCCTAAGTAACAACTAGAGAGAGATTTTCCAAAAAATGATAACATTCATTTGGGACTAGAATAACATTACAATGGGAGTATGCATGCCAAAATAAACTATGAGTGTACTCAAAGAGGTTAAGGGAAGAGAAAACTCTTAAAGGCAAAATAAGGAGGATGACACAATATATTTTGAAGCGATAATGTTTTGCCATAAGAATTCATAACTGTTAAGATTAAATGGGCAATTGCTGAGAAGATGACCTTATAGAAGGAGTATAAGGTGTGGTTGCCTTTGTGCAAGGCTGTGGCCTTAAAGTCTTTTGTGATGATTACTATCAGGCAGTAGTATGTTAAAACCTTCCCTCACAACCCTAACTTGTTTTGTTAGGGTTGGCACAAGTAACTCCATTTTGATTCTGACAAGTTTCATATTCACTATCTGATAATTCCAACATGTTTGTCATATCCGGTTCTGATGTTTGCTCTGTCTCTTTAAGCTGTGGTTTTCATTTTTTGGTATGTATACCTTGTAATTTTTTTCTCCAGCACTTGCTAATGTATGCTGAGCAACTGCATTACCACTGAGCCACATCCCCAGCCCCTAAGCTTTTTTCTTGATAGCTGAACATGATGTACTGGTTAAAGAGAATTTTTGCAAGGAAGTCTTTAACTTACATCATGGTAAGGTGTGAATCCTAGGCTTTGTCTTCTTAGTCTTCTAGTGAGCATGTGTTTTTTTTTTTTTATTTTGCGTTCCTGGGGTTTGAACTTAGAGCCTACACCTTGAGCCACACCACCAGCCCTTTTTGTGTGATGGGGTTTTTTTTGAAATTACGGTCTCATGAACCATTTGCTTAGGCTGGCTTCGAACCATGATTCTCCTGATCTTTGCCTCCTGAGTAGCTAGGATTATAGGCATGAGCTACTTACTGCTGCCCCATGAGCTTGTGATCTTTGATAGTGACCTTCCTAAGTGCTTCTATATTTTCCCTCTTAGTTGGCAAAAGATAGCTATAGTCAGTTGGGGATTTCCCTTCCCCCAAGTCAGTTAGGCTCTGATTAACTAGTTGAATTCTGGTTAACTAGTTTCTTCTGAGAATGGGGCTTATTAAGAAGTAGAATGTTCTGACATATTTCAAAATTATTTATTTTCTCTTCCCCCTGCCAGGAGCATGAAGGGATTTTTCTGTAATATTCAGTATGAGACCCTGGTCAAGTTCACGAAGTTAACACTAAGAAAAATTTGAGTTCCTCTTGTATCCCAGTGTCTGGTGGCCCCAGGAATTTTTAATGTCTCAGACTTGTTCTGACTGTGCCTCCAGGAGTTCATCAATCACAGTTCAGGTTTTTTTGCCCTCACACTGGTTCCCTTGGAGGTGACTGCTCATAGGTTTTTGCTCATGGGTTTCTGCTCATTCCTTATGATTCTCTGTACTTGCCTGTCTTTTTCCTCAATTTTGAAGGCAGCAGTTTGCACTAAGACCTCACTTCTCTGATTGAGCTAAGAAGAGTTGTTGATTTTTTTTTTCAGATTGTTCAGCTTTTACTTGTTGGTAGGATGGAGTGGCAACTTCCAAGTTTCTTAAATGCCAGTCTGGAAACCAGATATTATGGTGTAATTTTTAAAAGAAAAAAGTTTAACCATTTCAGTACCTCTTGTAGCTTCCTACACACAAACAAGAAACATGTTTATTAAAAAAAATATTTATTAATTTTTACACCTGCTGGGTAGCACAAGACTATTAACACTATAACTCACTGAATGTACAATAAATGTTCACATTTAAATAACAGGATAGGGTCAACATTTTCAACCAATGGGTCAGCTTTAGCATCTCATCAAGTGCTTTTTAGCTCTAGATATCTTAAGAGTTTTTTGGAAGGATAATTCCAGGTCAAAAAATAATTCAAGAACATCAAAAAAAGTTTTTCCAGAAGAACAGGAATTTTACATGATGAACTGTTCATTTCTCTGGGCACAAATCAAACAATAAAAATGTAAAATCTGTATCCAACCTACTCCAAAATATTCACACTGCACTGAATGAATTCTCCAAAGTCAATGTGTCTTGGAAGAGGCCACAATATAAACATTGGCTACACATGTGTTTCCCAGTTGGGTTTTCAGAGGGATTACAATCTGCCATCTCTTCAAATACAAGTCCTTTAGAAGAACTATTCCCTTTGATGAGTGTGCACAATACCTATCTAAAAGTGATGGTGTTTGGCTGCATTGCCACCTGCATCTCTGGTTGATGATATAAGTTATTGTCTTTATTTATTCCACATAAGGACCAGGAAAAAAGAAGGAAAAAACTTGGAAGGGAAAGAGACAAAAAGGTCTTTCAACAATATTTTCCTATGTGTATTTTAAAACTTAAAATAACTGACATAACATGAACATTCTATTCATTGATAGTTTTTGATTTTAATCAATAAGGAATTCCTGAGAAGAGGAGAGATTTCTTGCTAGCCCAAATTAAAAAGAACCCAACAGAGTCAATTTAAGTTACAAAAACTAAAACTGGACCTTTGGAAGAGTTTTGTCTTTCTAATTAGACACTGGTTATTTACAGTCATTACACTGTGAAACTTTGGGATCCAGAATCTACATTTTATGACTCAGGATTAGTATTTTTGGTGGAAAATGCCAGTGTTACCTCTTTATCACCAGCAATAGAATTCATTTAATGTTTTCACACCTTTTTATTTTTATTTATTTATTTAATTTTTTTGATAGAGTCTTGCCGTGTAGCCCAGGCTGGCCTCCAAGTCACAATCCTCCTGCCTCAGCCTCTCAAGCATTGGGATTATAGACATGTGCCCCACATCCAGGTAGTTTTTTTGGAGACAACTTTCTCAAGTCACTTAGTGTCCCAAATTTCAGAGACAACTATATCAATGAGGTCTCACAAATAAAAATGCAAGATCTACATATTAATAAAATTATCTCAAAAGAACTATTTACTTTTCAGAAAGGTATCTTTATCATAAAGAAACCACTCCTTAATTCATAGAATCACTTTTTACTCAGAAAAGTAAATAAATTAGTTAACTTCATTCATTGTAATAATTATTCTATAAATGTAGGTCATAAAAAGCTATAAAATACACAGTGACTTTTGAAATGTTTTATGGGAATGTTTGGAATGCACAGTAAAAAGAAAGGAAATATTTTCCCTGCCAAATTCACAACAAACAAGATTCCCAAATAGGAACACATAGAAGACAAACTATCCTCATGGTGAATAATTTTTTCTCTCCCAAATACCAGCATAATATCCATAAGGATCAGATTCCTTCCAGATCCCTTATGTTACCCTAACATATCACAAGTGGCCCCACATACTTGCTTTTCCCCTACGTGGGAAGTTGGTCATCTTAGAAAAAGGTCCGGATAAGTTAAAATATATTGAAAGTTAAAAGTGTTTAGAAATAAGAAAGGGCACTTTTCCACCCAACTTTAAAGAATGTTCATTTTAGGACAGCATTGAAAGTACTAAAATACACTGAGTTCTGTGAGCAAGAGTTAAATGTAGGGGCTGGAGGTGGAACTCAGTAACAGAGCAGTTCCCTAGCATGCATGAAGCCCAGCTCAGCTCCATAAAAAATAACAAACAAACAAACAACAAAAGAGTTAAGAACAAGGAACTCAGTTTCTACCAGTGAATGGTAAATGGATCCTGTGAGGCAGCACAGGCTTTCAGTAATTTCTATCTGTCTGTCTGTCTCTTTCTCTCTTTAGTAATTTTTCTTGGTACCAGTACAACTACAACCAGAGACTGGGAAGCAAAGCTTCATGTAGGGGTTTAAATTCTGTGACATCAAGCAGCTTTTGTCTTTCAGGGAGTTCTACTCTTATGGAGTAACAAAGTAAGAGCTATCAGAACGTGAGGTTCTGCCTAATCTACCAATGGCCAGCATCTGTGGACAGTACTACCAACCAGCCGGCAACAATTTTCCAAAATAAAGTAAGGAAAAAGAAAAACGATGGTGGTACACGCCTATAGTCCCACTTAGGGAGACTGCAGCAGGAGGATCCCGTGATCCCAGGAGTCGGCAACCAGCCTGGGCAACACAGTGAATTCCACACTCCCTCCCCATCCCCCAAAAAAATAATAGAAAAGAAAAGATCAACAATATGAAAAATTTAGATGACAGTTTTCCTTTCAGAACACTGTCAAATTTTTGTCTCATCATTTTTATTTTTTCATCTAATAAATTCCCTTTGTTAAATTACTGAAAACTTGAACACACGACATAGAGCAGTTCTGACCTAATCCACACCCATGAAGTGCTCCTTCTGATGCCATGACTTGGATTCAGAAGCCCAGTGACCATGGACTTGGCACATCCTGTCTCCACCTTTGGTATGAACATAACGTGCCACTTAATATTTCCACAAAGGGAAAGTAAGGCTTATCAGTGTGTTTAAAAAAAAAAAACAAAAAAAAAACCTCAAGAGCAAGTCAAAGTTTCTCCATCTTGAAATGTACTTTCCCTGAAAGACCTCCATTCTGTAGCAGAACCCCAAGGGTTTGAAGAGTCAATTTGGTAAAGGCGACCTTGGCAAAATCACCCCGGCATATGTGTGTGTCAAACTGTAGTTTCCAAACTCTTGAGTGAATAATAAATCTTAAAAAAGAAGTCTGGGTGTCAGAAGCTTCGGATGTATGAATGAGAAAAGACGTGATGTGAGTGCTGGAGTAGCTCCCGGAGGACACCCTACGGCTTAGTGATATGCACTTCACTGCTTCCATTCCCGTTGGTGGTGGTTGTGATGATGTATTGTGTGGTCTGCTGTTGGCTGGTGGCCTGGGCATCCAGGGAGTCACTGTGTGTGGATGGCTGAACCTGGACTGCACCAGAAAGGCCAGCAGTTTGCTTTTCCTCCAATTCTGTCTGACTTTCTGATAACACGTAATGACCCTAGAGCAGTAAGAAAAGGATCTTTAAAATCTGGGGCCTAAAATGGAAAGCTACTGCAGCAGGGAATATGCAAAGAAATGTTATAAGGTAAGGTCTGGGGATGTAGCTCAGTGGTAGAGTGCTTGCTTAGCATGCACAGGGCTCTAGGTTCCATCCCCACCACTGCAAAAAAATAAAATAAAAATCTGTAACAAGGGCAATACAATAGCCCAGCAGTACAGGTGTGGGCAAGGTGACTTACCGGAGTAACTGCCTTCACTTGGCCAGAAGTGACAGGCGTTGCCACACCACTGTCTGTGATCACAAACTGACCTGGGGGAAGTGTCATCATTTGTATCTCAGATGCTGAAAACAGGAAATATACAAGGTTCAGTGGTCTGAGATTGTAATGTAAGTTCTAGAAACAAATGCTCCTCTATTTATATGATAGGGTTACAACCCAAAAACCCATCATAAGTTGAAAATGCAGTAAATGGAAAATGCATTTAGCTGAGCTGGCGATGTAACTCAGCAGGAGAGCGTTTGCCTGGAGGGTGTAAGGCCCTCGGGTCGATCCCAGCAGTACAAGAGAATGTGTTTAGAACACCTAACATGCCAAACGCCACAGCTCAGCCTCACACACCTTAAACATGCTCAGAACACTTAAATTAGCCTACAGTTGTGCAAAATCATAAACACAATAAAATCCTATTTTGTAATAAAGTATTGCATGGCTCATGGAAATTCGTGAATACTGTACTGAAAGTGAATACAGCTGGGCACCATGGCCTGCACATGCAGTCCCAGCTACTCAGGAGGCTGAGGCAGGAGACTCTCTTGAGCCAGAAGTTTGAGACCAGCCTGGGCAACACAGTGAGAGCCCATCTCAAAAGCAAAAAACAAAAAAATCAGACTGGATTTATGGATATGATTTTGTACCATCATAAAGTTAAAAATCCTAAATTGAACATCCTACATCAAGCTGGGCATGGTGGTGCACATCTGTAATCCCAGCACTCAGGAGGTGGAGGCAGGAGGATCACAAGTTCAAGGCCAGCCTGGGCTACATAGTGAGTTTGAGGCAAGGACCAGCTTAAAAAAAAAAAAAACCCACCTTGGATAACACCAGGACACCAGCTCACTATTTTGAAAACTATTAAATAAAGGTCAGGATTTAAAGCATTTATCCTTTTCCTGTATCTCAAGAAGTCTGGTAGTTATGGTAAAAAAATTCATAGAATTTTTCTAGTTAATTAATAAACACAAATAATAGACTAATCAAGTAATGGAGCTAAGGAATAAACATCACTAGTTCCTAAAATCACAAAAAAAGAGCCAATCAAACATATGCCTCCTGATGGAAGTATACACACCAGCGGTAAAGTAGCTTGTGGAAAAAGACTGAACCTGACCCTGATTCAATCCTCTAGATCAAATTGCCAGACTGCAGAAATTAAAAAAGACAGAAGAAAGTATGTTAAATGACATCATGAGGATACTACCAGCAAAATCTTGAATGAGAGAAGCTACAGGACAAATGACCTGGTTTCTTCAACACAGAAATAGAAACTTATGAGCCAGAGAGAGTGAACACATATTAAAAGAAATTAAAAAGAGATAGCAATGGGCTAGGCATGATGGGTTATGCCTGTAATCCCAGCTACTTGGAGGCTGAGATAGGAGGACTGAGGTTTGAACCAGCCTGGCAAAAACTTATTGAAATGTTGTCTCAACAAATAAGCCACCATGGTGGTACACACCTGTGGTTCCAGCTACTTGGGAGGTAGAAGTAGGAGGATCACTGTCTGAGAACAGCCTGGACAAAAACTGTGAGACCCCATCTGAAAAATAACTAAAGCAAAAAGGGCTGAGGGCATGGTTCAAGTGTAGAATGCTTGCCTAGCAAGTGTGAGGCCCTGAGTTCAAATTCCAGTACCAGCCAGGCACAGGTGCCTCACACCTATAACTCTAGCTACTTGGGAAGCTGAGATTCAGAGGATGGAGGCTGAAGGTCAGCCCAGGCAAACAGTTCACAAGACCCCATCTTCAATATAACCAGAGCAAAATGGGCTGGTTCAAGCATTAGAGCACCTGCTTTGCAAGCTTAAAGCCCTGAGTTCAAACCCCAGTCCTACTGGTGGGGGCAGGGGGAGGGGGCCACATTGCAATATATGGCCCTTATTTGAACCCAAGTGAACAAACCAACTATTTGAAAACATATCTTAGACAATCACAGAAATACGAATACTGACTGGATATTTGGAGTGTTATTTGAGAGTACTGGAGGATTACTGTCATTTAGTTTTACATATGATAATGTTGTGTTGTGATAATATTTTATTTTTGAAAATGGTCTTTGGGACTGGGTATATAGCTCCTTGGTGGAACACAAACTTAGCCTATGCATGGCCCTGGGTTTGATCCCTAACATCAAAAGGAAAAAAGTCTTTTTTTTAAAACAGATATATACGATAATATTTATGGTGAAATGTTATAATGGAGTATCATCCAGTTGGAGGATGGTAGAGAATGATGGGGTGGGGATGAGACAAGGTTGACTTCCAGCATCCAGCTGTTGAAGCTGGATGCTGGGTATGCGAGTTCTCTTTACTATTCTCTCTGCTGCTGCATAATTTTGGAATTTTTTTCCTAATAAAAAAATTTCAGTTCTAGAATCTCTTCTTCATATTAGAACACTAGCTCATACTATTATTATAATAGGTATCTTCATCATTCCCTTTTCTTTCACAGGAATTAAACTGAGTATTAATGTCAGTATATTTGCCAGTATTTTATATGTACTGGAATTTTATTAGTATTTACTAGGAGTAAGAAAGTCAGTCTTTCCTTGTCTAGAAAGTAGACTCAGCCCTTGTAACCACCAATATTGAAGTGAACAGATCAGAACAAATCTCCTAATGGAAGGAGAAAGATCAACACTCCTTCCCCCTTCTTGGCCCACAGTCCTCATACTTGCTACACCTGAGGTCTAATCCTTACCTCTATTCCAGGCCTTTCCCCATCTGCAAAGATGAATGCTCAGACTTCCCAGACTATATCCAAGGCTGTCAGCCCAACCAATATGCCTACCTACTCTGACAGTGACTGCTTCCATAGCACTAATCTCAAGGTTTTGAGATCACTCTTCATATATCTATCTCCTTCACAGATGATGGTCTTTCAGAGCTAAAGACTATCTTATCAGGAGAGGCAGCACAGTGGGGTGTTTTAGAGTGTAAGCTTTAGAGCCAGACTGCCTGGGTTCCAATCCTCTGTTGACTATCTGTGTCTCTTAGACCATTACTATGTCTAAACTACCTTATCTATAAAGTGCAAATTACAGTTATAATTATCTCATAGATTATTGTGAATACTGAATGTGATGTATGTAATTTAGAATCATTCCTGGTACATACTGAGAAATTATTATTATTATTATTGTGTGATATCACTGATAATAATGTGACTATTAATTCTTGCATACCCTGGGTCAAGTACAGTGATTGACACGTGGGCATTTAATAATAATCACGGATGGGAGGGATGAACCATTACCATCCACCTGTCCTCTATCCGTCTATTCTATGTAATCACCTCCTGTGTTTCCCCCAGCAATATACCTAATGTCTCTGAAATGTCATATTCAGATTGGCTCTCTGAGATCAAAACAGTGCTGTCAATTTTTGTCAGGAAACTCATTGAAATACATGCACCATAGAGTATCAAAAATGGCCAACTGGTACTTACTCCAAAAATCTGTTATAAAGCTGATGAAATTAAGACACATGGCTGAATATTCCCCACCCATAACCCATCCAGCACTGACCCCCTTTTTTTTTTTTTTTTTTACTCACAATAGCCCCGGAAAGAATTCCAGGCATTGGGGAGGTATGTGTGTTGCACAGAAGTGTTCTGCTGCTGCGGTGGCTGTGGCTGCTGTGGCTGCTGCAGAGCCTGCCCTTGGGTGGAAGAACCACCTTGGATGTGGGAGGGGCTGAGGCCCTGCTGTGCAGACTGGGCAGAGGGGCTCAGTGGCTGCCCAGCTACCTAGGGAGAAAGAGAATGCATGGCAAGGACATTATGAAATTCCAATAGATTTAAGACTCACAAATAACTGGAGAAAAATAAAGCAGAGTAATGCGAATTATGAGAGCAAAAATATCCCTGCTAAAGTAATAAGAATAGAGTTAATGAAAAGCAACAGGAACTCTGAAATTCTAATTTGTTTTTAAAGCATTATCTGCAAGAGTATCCAAACAATTTCAATAAAGTTGCTAGAAAGAAAAATGTATGAAAGTATAGTTGCTTACATTATGTAAGATTTAAAAAAATGAGGGATGAAATTACTTGCCTGTCACAAAGCTAACTTGGGACACAAGTGGAAACCGAACCCCAGAATCCAGTATAGAAGCTTCCTCCTGTAGTCAGCCATTCAAGCTCTCTATAATCCAGTTCTTCACTAACTTTCCAACCATCACTGTTTGTTCCTAAACAAAATAACTCACAGTTTCCTATAAATCACAATTTTCCATTTCTGTGTCTTTACTCACAATGTGAACTTATTTAGAGACTACTACCAGTCTCCAATGATCATGTCAAAACTGTACCTCTACTCAAAGACTGAATTCAAAGACCAAAATGACCTTGTTTCCCTGCTAAACATAATCTCTTTCTCCTCTGAACTCAAATACTTACCTATATATCCCAGTAACAGACCCAATCATACAAACACAGCAATACACAATACACAATAAAACCCACAAAGTCATTATTCCAAGTCCTAGAAGCACTTTAGCAATTGCATTTAGAGGGGGAAGAAAGACTGGTGTTGTTCCTAGAACATTGTATCACAAGGCTCCACAGAAGCTACTAGCTTAATGCAAGCATAGAGACAAAGGTAGGACTCATTAATTAAGGTCCAAAAATAACACCATTATCTCAATAGTTGAGGATAACGCTTTTGCTGCTATTAACTTTTATGGTCTCTGAGGCCCAGTTAACCTGGCATAGTCCATGGAGATGTGTACCTGGGATGATGACGGGGCTGTGGTGGTGGGCTCCGTGACCTGAATGTGCTGCACTTGGATGGCATGCTGTGTGTAGGTCTGAGGGTCATGCAGCTGGCCAACGTCCACAGTAGACTGCTGAGACTGGTGCGGGGAAGTGGCCTGGAGAGAGAAAAACACAGGCCCCAAACCAAATGTATATCGATTGAGGTTAAACGAAATACTTCCAAGAAAGAGTTCACTTAAAAGCAATGTCCCTTGGGATTGCAAGTTTGAGGCCAGGCTGAGCTACAAAGTAAGACTCTGTCTCTAAACAAAATAAAACAAACAAAAAAATGGGGAAATAAAGACAGAGTAAAGAATATTTAATGACAGCAATTTTTAATTTTTACAAGTTTAAAACTGTATTGATTATAATTTTTTGTGGTACTGGGATTTGAACTCAGTGCCTACATCTTGATCCACTCCACCAGTCTTTTTTTGTGATGGGTTTTCTGGAGATAGGGTCTTGTGAACTATTTGCCTGGGCTGGCTCTGAACCATGATCCACCTGATCTCTAACTCCTGAGTAGCTAGGATTACAGGCACGAGCTACCAGCACCCAGTTTGATTATAATTTTGATTTCTTTCTTTTTTTCTACTTTGGTATACTGGGATTTGAACTCAGGGGCCCACACTTGCTAGGCAAGCACTCTACCACTTGAGTCACTCTACCAGCTTGATTATACTTTTGAAACCAAATGATTTCAAAGCACTAAACTTGTTCATTCGTGTACTTCTTCACAACATAATTAAATGAAACCGTAGTTCTGGGAGGACTCCTCTTAGCTCTCTAATCAATTAGAATGAGCTACTCCTTATCTGGTAGGAGGAACATAGTTATATCTCCATACAAAAAAGGAACGGATATTCAGAGATTGAATCAACATTATCTTTACAACTTCTCACTAACAAAAGTCATTTGATGACCATGTAGGGATTTACCGGACTGGCTCATTATCAAGTAGTCAGCCAGGATGCTGAAGGACAAGGATTCAGAAGAGCCCCAAACAGAGGTGCTACTAGAACTGCCACAGCACAGGATGGCTGTGTAGGCTAGAGCCTAAAATCTCCTGACTATAACAGGCAGAAATTCACAGGCTGCCGAATCCAGAGCCCTCAGCAGCCTGGAGAGAGCGACCGGACTCTGTTTGACTAACGCCCAAGGCTCAGCACTTCCATGCAGAGGCACTTATGTGGAGCCCGGCGGCTCCAGCTCTGAGACCTGCGTGCTTTCGTTGACTCCAGTCACCATCTTGGCTGATGGGAGCACGACATTCATACAGGTAAAGAGAAATAAATGTCCCACTGTACCGGGGCCACTTGCACCACTTGAAGCTGTATATGCTGAGGCTGTTGGAGACCAGATGCAGACTGAGACACAGGTATATACTGAATCCTCTGGTAGTCCCCCTGTGGCGTCCGATAATCTGTTGTTAAGGTCTGGGACAGTTCTGTCATTGCTTGAGTTAGCAGGTCTGTTGTCTAGAAAAATCACACAAAACATTAGTTAGTGGCACCACTGTTTGGAGCTATTTCAGTGCTCTTAAATCTTATTAAAATTTACTTTGCCACACTGGCAGATTATGGAACTAAATTGGCTCTGAGTCTCTGCCCTGTAGGTTGTAGTAACATTGCAGTAAAGGAGCAGCACTGACGATCTCTGCTGTGACAGAGAGCTTTGGAAACCATCAACGAGGGGACTCAGTCCTAAGCAATGCCTTATGTAGCAAACTGAAGGAGAGGAGGTTCTATCTACAGTCAACCAAATAGCAAGCTAGTAGACATGACTTTGGTGTTTAAAGATGTGATGGACACTGAAGTGATGAGATGTTTTTCCTAGTCACACACTTACCACCACAGTCTCTCCAGTAGCACTATCCGTCGTTAAGACAGCTGAGGTGGCACTGATCACAGCTGTTGTCAGGGGCGTGTGGATGGTGTTGGGGAGCTGTGCATATTCAGGATGCTTCTTTCGAATGTGTTGGACCATCTTGGTCTGAAAAATCAAGGAAACACCAAGAACAATTACTATGGTTGAGGAGGAAGAGTGCAAGTTTAAGGTCAGTCTTCACTACATAGCAAAACCTTGTCTCAAAAGTAGTGGGTAAATATTTGGTTAAGAATAAAATATATACCTACCCTCAAGAAAAAAAATGAAAACAAAACAAAAGACAGAATAACTACTAGAATTAGTTACTCTCCATCTTTCTCACAGGCAAGTCTTCCAAAGGGTCAAGAAGGTTTTTTCGTGCCTTTAGAAAGTAAAATATCAACTGGCACAGTGTTGTGTACCCATAGTTCCAGCTACTCTGAGAGGCTGAGGCAGGAGGATCACTTGAGTTCAGGAGTGTACAGTTAGCCTGAGCAACATAGTGAAGCCCTGTCTCTTTAATTAATTAGTTAATTCATTAAAATAAAATTAAAAATCAGAGCAACACCAACTCTATGCCTGTACCTCCAAAAGCAACACAAGAGTATCAAAACAGCAAAAAAAAAAAAAAAAAAAAACCCTCCAAAACAAAAAAAAAACCAGAAAACATCAGTAAAATAAAAACTCACATGACCCTAAACCACCAGGCAAGATTCATAAATCTCACAGTAACTCCCCTAGCCCACAAATGTCTTCAGCAATCAGTGACAATCAGTCCCCAGCAAAAATGACCTCTTTTCAAGAACTATGCAGTGTGGAGCTTATAAACTATGTGCATAGAATATTCAAGTGTGGCCGGCAGCAGTCTCAGGCTAGTAGATGGAGCTGATTCTGAGTCCTCAATATTCCCTTTCAATTCTTTGCTTGGTCCCTGCTTTTGAAGACTAGGATAAAGTCTCTTTCAGTTCCTTAATTCAGAAGCAGCCGCAGGCCATCTGGATGAGAAGCCCCCTCCTGTTAAAGCATTCCTCATGCAGAGGTTTTAATGTCAGATTTGGTCTAAAGCCAGTGACATACCTTGCTGCTGTACTGCTTGGAGCAGTGCGGGCAGCAGACAGGAGGGGTGGCGATGGTGCCAGTCAACTGGGTGTGGGTGCTTAGCATGGGGTCTGGCTCTCCAGGGCCAGCAGGACGAAGTTTCCGAATACTCGGTGGGAGCTCAGCTCCTGGGTGGTTCTTCAGAATATGGGCTTTACGCTTGCTGGCACTTTTATAAACCTGCAAGTTCAAACACTTGTCTGTGAAAGCCATATACAGTTCTGTTTTCTTGCTTACAGCAAACTAACATTTCATTCTAAGGAAATAAGAAAAAGTATTGCTATAAGCCCAAAATAAAATATATTAACTAGTAGGGTATGGTGGTGCATGCCTGTAATCCAAGCACTTAGGAGCCAGAGGCAGGAGGATCAAGAGTTTGAGGCCAGCCTGAGTTATAAAGTGAGTACAAGGCCAGCCTGGGCTATATAACAAGATCATATCTCAAAAAACTAAAGGCTGAAGATGTGGCTCAGTGGTAGAGCATGTGCCTAGCAGGTGAGAGGCCCTGGGTTCACTCCCCAGCACTGAAAAAAAAAAGATTATGTATATGCAAATATATGCACATGTATATGTTTTTAATAGACCTATTGAAGGATAATATGGATATAACAAATTAAAATAAAATAAGGACATAATGCAGATATATTCTAGGCAACTTCCTTGAATTTTCTGTGTATATCTAAGATAGTAACTATAAAAACACCCTTTACCCAAAAGTTTAAAAGGTAGCCATACAGACCCAGAAAGAAAATTGTTTTTAAGGCTAGTTTATCCTTTATTCTGTCTGTAAGAGCTTCCTTATAACACATGTAACTGACTACTAGGAGCCAAAGGATCATCCAGGTAACAAGTTCAATACCAACTAGCACCTTCACTGGGAACACTAGGTTTAAAATACATTTTTTACTTTTAAGCTGGCTTAATAGCTATATTATATACATAGACAATATTACAAAGAAACAACATACAAAATGGTATCTGTCTTTTTCACAGCTATACAAAAATGAACAATGGAATAGTACAAGTGGAGTACTCCACCACAAAATGTTTTCACATCCTACTCAATCTTCTAGAAACCCCAAATCTACCACATATTTTACAAGATGACGAATGATCTCATTTAAGAATTTAGGAATTTAAGATGAATTCATAGTCTAGGCTCCTGAAAATAAGCCTCTTCTTTTGTAATAAAAGTCACAGATGGAAGGATAATAAGAAAACAAAATCAACAGATTCTCTGGGAAAAAAATTGGTTTAAAATGAGACTGAATTTCTAGCCCTTTCTTATCTGAATGGAAAAGTACCGAGAGGCAAGGAACCATCTGCTGAGAGCAAGTGCAAGATCCTGGTACTAATCACCTGGCTCCAAGCAAGACTCCCACTGTGGCTCACCACAATGGATACTTTGCCTTTACCTTATCACAATACTGACAGAAGTAATCACGGTTGGGTTTTATGATGGGTAGGGTTAACTCCGGCACCTCTTCTATCTTCATGTCTGGATGCCTCTTTGATAAGTGATTTACCTAAAGTAAAAATAAATAAATAAATAAATAAATAAATGTGAAAAAGAGACCCCTATATAGACAGAAACAAAACAAATGCACACTAGAAGCAGAAATTCTCTGAAGCAAGGGCCAAAAACTGTAAGGCATGTTCCCAGAACTGAAATCATCACACATCGGACACCAAAGTGTCAATGGTCATTGTTAACAGGAATTAAATGATTCATTCCACAAATATCTGAAGGTGAGCTGGGTCACCTGGATCCCATTAAAGGTCTCTGGCTGACAGAAGCACTACTGGAAAAAGGAAAGTGACACTAACACAGATTTCTTTGGTGAATTCTCCTATGCAAACCTGGCTTTCATTATTTAGTGCCCTAGCTTTACTGAGAACATTGAATGAGACACAAAGAAAGGTTCTGAATTTTAAATATTGTTCTGTCTTTCTAACTCTTGGCAGAAATTTATTCTGCAACTCTGAAGAGGTCAAAATAAGTTGACAGGGCTGGAGGCATAGTTCAAGTGGTAGGGCGCCTGCGTAGGAATCTCAAAGCTCTGAGTTCAAACTCCAGTACAGGAAAAACAAAAAAAAATGTTGAGACCAGCAAACTGTAAACTGGCTGGCCATCCTGATGTTTCCACTAACCTTAATCTGGGACCACATACACTATGCTTTAATGGAAAGCTTCCTCCTACTGCTGTTTCCTAACTGGAAACAGAGAGGTATTCACAAGGAACAGTCAGGAAGGAGGCAAAGATTCTCCCCACAACCACCAAAAAAGAAGTATATTCAAAGTATATTCAGGAACATAAAAAGAGGGGAAATAAAATAGGACAAGATCAAAGACATTACTAACAAAACTAGTAATGAAAAGTAGTAGCAGTCTAGGGGTGTAGGTCAGTGGTAGAACATGTGCTTAGCACATGCAAGGCCCTGGATTTGATCCTGGCACTTCAAGTAAAAAAAGTAGTAGAAAGAGATCTGTCACAAGGTCACCCAAAAAGTGATACAGGAGAGAAAAGGACATGGAAAGGAGAGAACTCCAAATTGGGGACTGTTTGCCTATTTCTTCTAGCTATTGACTACACGTACTGACAAATACAATGTAGTGCAGAATGCAGTACCAAAGCCATCATCAGCAGAAAGGAGGCAGGTTGGAACCAGGAACCTAACACTGACCAGCATGCCTCGGCGCCGGAAGCCCATCATGCACAGGCGGCACTTGAACGTGAAGCTGTCGTAGTCTGTGGACGTGATGCGAGGTTTGAAGGTCTTGGAGCGGCTGATTCGGTCAGCCTTCTTGGCCTCCCTCTCAGGATTATGCATCCTTTGCATGTGTTCCCGTAGTTTGTCTTTTCGCTATTTGGAGAAGAAGTTTTGAAAATAGGACAGGGGTGAAGGTAGGAAAATTTTAATTAAAGGGATAAATTTAAAAATCAATATAAATTAGCAGTCATCAGTACCCACTGTTCTGAGCTACTGGAGTGCTGGGACATACAGACAGGTCAAAAGAATGACACATATTGGTGACACATATTCATTTTTGAATATGGATTTTTGAGGAGAAAGACTTTGCATTTATAGAGAGGAAATCCAAAGGGTACATAAAATGTTTGGTATTAAGAACTATACTACAAAATGATAATAAATAAGTAATACTAGATTTACAAAGCTGTAAGTATACTCAGTTCTCATGCATGTTAACAAACAAGATATTTTTTTAAATATCAAATGATCTTAAGAATCTATCATCTTATGGATTTTGAATTCTCACCTTAAGGATTTAGAAGGTCAAGTAAGCAGTTGCACTGTCTACTGTAGATGGAACATGCAGCAGTGGGCGCAGGACCAATTTCCCTCCCTTCCAAGCTGGGGTCTTGCTATGTTGCCTAGGCTGACCCCCAAACTCCTGAGCTCCAGTGGTCCTCACACCTCAGCCTCCCAAGTTACTGGGCATATGCCACTGTGCCTCACTTCAGTCTTACTTTGATGATCTAGTGATCCATGCTGGCATGAGTCCATAGGCAGAAAATTAGGAACTCATCCTCAATAAAAACAAACTCAAAACCCCCACCAATTCCCTTGTCCAGTGGGGTTCTCTGCTCTTGGAAGTAGGATCAAACTATTATTAGTTTTATAAAGATATTTGTTTGTTTATTTATTTATTGGCAGTACTCAGGGGCTGAACTCAGGGCTTCATGTTTGCCAGGCAGATGCTCTACCACTTGAGCCACACCTCCTGTCCAGATATTGAATCTTCCTACAAGACTTCGTTTCCCATCTTTTAGTACAGGTACTTTGTTTAACCACTGCAGTGGTCAGCACATGCCCCTTGTTCTTTTTTATTTTATCATTTTTACATTTACTCACACGTCAGCACGTGCTCCTTGAGTGCCTACCAAGCATCAGGAACCAAGCCAAATTCCAGTGAGAAGCACCCCCACCCACTTGCCTGCTCTGTCTTCCTGTTGCACGATCCTCATTCCTGGAAGACTCAAGAGCACCTGTTGAATAAATGTGCTGACTGCTGCAGTGGTTAAACAGAATACCTGTACCAAAAAATGGGAAGAACCAGTCTTGTAGGAAGATTCAAAATCTTGGGCTGGAGGTGTGGCTCAAGTGGCAGAGAACCTGCCTGGCAAGCATTAAGTTCTGAGTTCACCCCCAGTACTGTCAAGAAATAAATAATAAATAACATCTAGCCTCCCAAGCTATAGATCTCAACTCCTCACCCTCCACCCTTCACTCTTTCATCTGCACAATGGTCCTGTGAGCTCTCTCTCAGAGGTCAGTCCTTAATATGGACCCTCTTACTCTTGCCTATAACCTCTGCTTCAGTGTAGACCCAGCTCCAAAAGGCCCTGGGATCCCTTCACTGTAAATCTGATTACTCACACCTTCCACCTCTCACCATCTCATCTTCTGAACGTGGTATTGCATTAGGCCCTGATGCTCTCTCTCTTTGAATGTCCTCACCCTCCCTCATTCCTCATCCTTTCCCTTCCTTTCTCCAGCTGGCAACACTTCCCTATCCTTAAGTGAACTTGAAATTGTCACTTGAGCTGGTGGAGCTCAGTGGGAGAACACTTGCCTAGCATGTGAGCGACCCTGGGTTCAATTCTTAGCCAAAACAAAAAACAAAGTCATCTTATCTATGAAGTCTCCCCTGTATCCCAAATCAGAGTTGATTGCTCTTATAGCACTCCATCCTTCTCTCTTACTGATTAGTGTCAATAATTTTTTTTGAGACAGGGTGTCACTATGTAGTCCAGACTGGCCTTGAACTTTTCAATCCTCCTGCCTCAGCCTCCCGAGTGCTGGGATTACAAGCAAGTGCCACCACACCCAGGGCAATAGTATTTTCTTAGTGTCTATTTTCCAACTGAAGTGTGAGCTCCCTAAAGTCAAAAGGTCTTATCGAAACTCACAGGAGAAGCATCTAACTCAAACACCAAGAAATGCCTGATGAAGTGATTCCAGTCAGATGAAATGATAATGGTCTGAAACTTTCTTTCAGAAAAAGGAGAACAAGTAGAGAGACAATGCCCCACAATGAAGTATATCCAGGAAACTCTGTTACCCAGAGAACACAGTGGAAGAAGGAGCCTGAGAGATGCTGAGGAGTCAGATCCTGCAGTGTCTTTTGGGTGATAAGAACTGTGGGATCAGCCAGGCGCTGGTGGCTCACACCTGTAATCCTAGCTACTCAGGAGGCAGATATCAGGAGGATCATGGTTCAAAGGCAGCTGGGGGAAATAGTTCATGAGACCCTGTCTTAAAAATACCTAACACAAAAAAGGGCTGGTGGAGTGGCTCAAGGTGTAAGCCCTGAGTCCAAACCTCAGTACAACAACAACAAAAACCAAAACAAGACAAAAAAAAAAAAAAAATCCCTGTGGCATCTATCTGCATAGAGAGCTAGTACAGGGTTTTCAGAAGGACCATGACATTGGATTTGTTCTCTAGAACTCTAGACCAGTTATAGTCTAGACACACACACACACACACACACACACACACAAGGTATGTGGTCATCAACTTAATCAAGAAAACTACACTTAGTTTGTTTGGTTTTTTTTTGAGGGGGGCGGTTTGAATTCAGGCCTTTACCCTTGCGAACCAGGCACTCTACTACTTGAGCCATGCCTGCAGTCCATTTTGTTCTGATTATTTTGGAGATGGGGATCTCATGAACTATTTGCCTTGGCTGGCCTTGAACCACAATCCTCCCAATCTCAGCCTCCCAAGTAGCTACAGGCATGAGCTACTAGAGCCTGACATAAACTACATTTAAATGGAATTCCACTCATTGTTCCAAGTTAGAATCAGCCAAAAGAGAAACAGAAGATAGAAGCAAAGCAGCCACCATGTTGTTCTGCCATGCCGTGCCATGCCTGGAGAGAGCAGCAGGTTAGGAAAGTGCCAGTGGATCCTCACCAATCCTCCCTCCCTCCCATTCAACTACCAGCTCTCTTCCTTACTGCCAGTTTTGCTGGCCAACTCCAAGCCCTTCACCAGATGCAGACTCATGGACTTCCACAGACAACGCCAGCTCTCCTTTGTGGGCCCACCCTGCAGTTGGAGGAGTCTGGGTTCCCAGATTCCCAGGCAAGTTCCCATTTGTCTAACCAGACCAATGCTTCAGAGGGTATGGTATGACTTTTTTGATTCCCCAAATTCTCCTTTCAGATCCTTACTTCTTCAACTTCTCCTATGATTAAATTTTTACTCCTACTAGAAAATAGGATATTACTTATCCTATAATAGTAGTTTTGTTTCTCTGATTACATCCTGTTTACTATATTTGGTTAAATTAAAGGAGAAAATGGAAGCAGAAAGGTGTTTTGTTTTCTTTTTAAATATTCCTAGGTGTTAAAATGATATCAAGCATAAAATAGATAATCAATGAATGGAATGGATGGATAGTCACATTGTTACCATCACAAGACAGCAATTATTTTATATAAAAACTGAGGGTGGAGCTTAACGGTAGAGCCTGTGCTTAGCATGCACAAAGCACTGGGTTCAATCCTCAGCACCAAAATTCATTAGTTAACTAAATAATTAATTAAGAAATGGGGCCTGGGAGTGTGACTCAAGTGGTAGAGCATCTGCCTAGCAAGTATAAGATGCCATGTACAAACTGCAGTTCTACCAAAAGAGAGAGAGAGAGAGAGAGAGAGAGAGAGGGAGAGATGGGAAAAAGCCAGACCCACTTCTACTTTTCACACTGGAGGTCTCTACAGTTTTAAATCATAATCCTATATACTATATGCTCCTATATACTACAAGCCATCATGACTATAATCTATAACACATAAATCACAAAACTTAAGCTTTGAAAATTACTTTGTTTCTTAATGTCCACTTCTGATTCTCTTCCAGTTTCTATGACAGTGTGACCCTATAATCATATGCAGTTGTATCTCTTAATGACATTTTTGCATAATCACCTGATTTCCCAAGGATGCATGATTGTTTTCACCTTTATTTATGTAACTCTTATTTCTTGAGTTTCCTGCAGGCTTATCCTTGACTTCTTTTCAATTCCAGGCAGGTTATTGATATATATTTTTTTTTTCTGTTTTTTTTTTGGTTTGATATGTAGCCCAGGCTGGCCTCAAACTTGTGATCTTCCTGCCTCAGCTTTCAGTGTGCTGGGATTACAGGTGTGCACCATCACACTCAGTTACTTCTTATTTTTTATTTTAATCCTTAAAGTCATCAACATCCTCCGCTAAGTGCTCTCATCATTCTTCACGTTTCCCATCCCTGTGAGATGAGCGTGCTGCTACCTACAGGGCTCACTCACAGGTCTTTACACTTAATAAGTGCTCAGAAAACATCTCTTGGTAGAATGGTAAGTAAATGCATTGGTCTGCTAGGAATTCCTCAACTGCAATTTAGTTGTACTCGTTATTATACATTTGGATTCTTTTTGGACATGCACTAATAATCTATTTGTTTGGAGATTTGAATTCATGCTTTCTGAAAAATGAAGCAAAATTCACCCATAACTTTAAGGGGAAGGCAAATATAAGGTCCACAGGGCCTCTCAATCCAGTCTGTCATAAGTGGGTGATAAATCGAGGAAAGGAACAGGCGTTTATCCTTAGCTTAACTTAACCCGGTGGCCCTGAGACCCAACTCAGGTTGCACATTGACTACATACCTTAAACTGCTTCCCACAGGTAGAACACAGGAAGTCTTTGCGGTCTGAATGCCGAAGCATGTGGAGTCGCAGCTTGTCAGGGCGACAGAAGGCCTTGTCACACTCTGTGCACTGGTAGATCTTTTCTGAGTGGAAACTACGCACGTGCTTCTTCACCTGGCAGTAAAGGGCAGTAAAGATCAGGAGAAACTCAGGCCCTCGGCAGCAAAGGAAAGGATCAAGGCAGCTATGAAGGCTAGAGGGAGCCAACGCACTACCACGGATTTTCATCATCCTGGCCATGTCATCCAATCAGAGGTGGTAACTGGCCACAGTAACACATAACGTCACAAAGAAACAAAACAAGTAGGAGAAAGCCCCACAAACCTGACCTCCCAGAGGGAATGGAGAAAAGAGTGTTTGCCTGCTCTAGGCCCTGGAGATTTGGTGCCCATTTTTCCTTTTCTGATTTTTTTTTTGAGACTAAAAGCAGTGTTGTTTGGGATTTAATGAATCTTGCTAAAAATTATCTGTAGGAAGACAAATTTCCCGACTTTTTTTTTCTGCCTTCAACATGTATAGAAGCAATTTTGCCCCTTGCCCCTTTTATATCTTCCTATAAAAGTCTGAGGCTGGGCATGTAGATCAAATGTAGCCTAGCAAGCATGAGCCCTGGGTTCAATCCCAGCACTAAGGGAAAACATCATGAGAAATTAAAGACATGAATTAAATGACATAGGAAATATTACCCATTTATGATCACAATACAACACTGGTGTCATTTTCCCTTAATTGAGATGTATTTCCTTTACATTTAGATAACTTGAATAAAAGAATATTGCTTCACCCTGTGTTCAATTCCTAGCACCAAACAAACAAAAATTTCTGAACTCTTTTAGCCATAAATATTAAATGAAAAAGAGCTGTGGAGGCTGGGAGCATAGCAGTGTGTGCCTAACATGTGTAAGGCTTGAGTTTGATCCCCAACACTGAAAAAAAAAAAAAAAAAAGCTATGGATGGAGGCAAAGTAGTGAGTAACATCAAACTATTCCTTATAAGGCATTTTGCTTTATTATTTTTGCATTTTCTTCTACCACTAAATTCTGCCTTAGCAACCTTTCTAATTGTGCAAAGTGAGAAAATTCCCAAGACTCTCAACACTAGCAAAACTATTATTAAATCCTATTCTCCTTTTGCTTTGGTAATTGTTTTAAAGAGTATTTTTATAAGATATTGAGATTTAATTATTCACTGACCAGCATATAAAAATACTATCATTGAAGTCCAAATGATATCATGGATATTCTGGAATTTACCTTTACTCCTTTTGCTCCAACAAGAGAGGCAGTTGGTGCTTAATGCAAAAATATATTATATACCAACTTTCTCTTTGGGCAATACTGGGGTTTGAACTCAGGGCCTCACACTTGCTAGGAAGGTGCTTTACCACTTGAGCCACTCCACCAGCCCAGCTTTCTCATTTCCTCCCAAAATGTGTGACTTTAGCAAGCCAGGAAACCAGAACGATGTTTCCAGCCCAGGAAATGGAACTATGTCTTCTATAGACCCTATATATTTTATGAGTAATGGATATTGACAAGGATTAAAAAAGAATTTAAAAACTGTAACTCATCTTGGTGTTTATTACTTGAAATAGAACTTAAAAAGTTAAACGCCAATGTCCAATCTGGACAACTAAGGGTCTAATGATCTGCCAAAAGTTGACAGATTGAAAAACTTCTGTAAAGTTGTTCCAAAGAAGAGATGAAAATGCAGGTGGCAGTCAGTCTCAATTTTCCAAAAACTGAAGTTTCCTTTACCAAAAGAAGGAAAGAGACAGGAATCCGGGTAGCAGACACTCACCTGGATAAAATCTGGGAATCGTTTCTTACAAGTTGGGCAGGTGAAGTAGCCATCATTGATATGAATGGCCACATGATCTTTCAACAAATCAAGGCGGTCAAAGGATTCGGGGCAAAAAATGCAAGAGTAAGTCTTCTGGTCCGAGTGGAGCTTCATGTGACTCTCCAGGGAGGCGCTGCTGATGAAGCCCTTGTTACAGAGGTCACAGGTCAGAGGGCAGTTCCCCTCCCGCCCATGGAAGCGCAAGTGTTGGTCCAGTTTGTCCTTCTCACGGAAAGCCTTCCCACACTGCAAACATTTAAAGGGCCGGAAGGACTTCCGAATAAACAGATGCTGAAGAGCTGCATTCTGCAAGACATACACAAATACGATTGTGCTGTGAGGAAACAGAGAGCACAGTGGGTGACACGTCTGCAGGGAGCAAGAAGGTGATACCTGCCACAGGAGTCCCCACAGATGCCAAATGCGAAGACACACAGGGGAAAGAAGGTTTTTCTGATGAAAATGCTGAAAATGAAGTCACTCCCAAAGTTCATCTTGAAAAGACAATTTGTCTGTTTCGTTTTTTGTTTGTGCATGTGTGTTTTCTTTTAAAAAAGGGTTAAGTAATATTCAAAAGTGTTCCCAATAGAAGACTTGTAGGCTAGTGAGGTGGCTCAAGTGATAGAGTACTGGTCTAGTATGTGCTGTAGTAAGGCCCTGGGTTCAATCCCCAGTACCGTAAAAAAAAAGAAAAAAGAAAGACTTGCATAAGAAACAAATCCCAGAGTGGAACAGGATAAAACTTGGAGATTCAGAAGAAAAATTTGGAGTAAGTCACACATGTGTGAATGAGGTTGGATATGACAGCCAAATGCTACTTCTGGAAGTCTTTGATAAAAAGAATTTGAAGCTTGATTAAAACATTTAAAATAAGACAATAAAAGAACTGAAGGGCAGTAAGTCTTGCCAGGAGGGGAGATAGAGAGGAAATACGTACAGGATTTCTTTGGAGGTAAGGAAAATGTTATGAAATAGTATAAGTTTTATGCTTTGTAAAATAGAGATCTCAATTTAAGAAAAAGAACTAAAAGGGAAATGAAGAAGAACTCAGATTTTTATGAATGTGTTTGGTCACGAGACATGACACACAAGTACACATCATAAGCAGGAGAGATGCACTTCATCACTTCCTACTGAGAAAACGTGTCGGACAGTTCCTTAGGTAGCCAGTTAGTTTTAATTAAAAAGCCATGCCAATGTTAAGTTTATTACTGGGCTTCCTGTCTACAAATGCCAATTTTGCTCTTTTTTTTTTTTTCCTGTCACAGATTGCACTTCTGTGCTGATGAGCTGCCTTTTACGTTCATGCAATTGTTACTGGAATTCAAATGAGAAAGGATGGGTGCTGGGGCAAAGCTGGAAATGCAACTTTGTGCTGCACTGAGTGCAGCTCCCAGAACAATCTTTGACACAGAATACAGAATTAGTATTTAGCTGTGCTATAATGAAGAGTCATCTATAAATTCCTCAAAACATGGAAGGGAAGCCCTAGATAGCTTTCAGGGGACAAAAATCTCTCAAAAAATGTTCCTGTGACTGGGTGTGCCTGTAACTGGAAGATTTATGGGATCCAAATGCATCATTTGTGGAATGAAGAAAATATGGTGAACAACACTTTAGCTCTAAATTACTTATCGGAAGCAACTTTGAAATTAAAGTTAATGTGAAACAATCATTTTGAGAGAAAGCAAAATATTTTTGATTTACTGAAATTTCTGAACATAGTTCATTTCGTATAACAGAAAATTGCCTTCTTGAAGCTTCTCTACTAGGGCTAAGGAGGGAGATTTTTAAGATGCTACGTATTCATTTATCTGCAATAGCAATTCTGTTGTCTTCCTAAGCTGACTGGACTGCTGGGTGGGGTGGAGGGGTGAGGGAGAATCATATTTTATTCTCTTTTGTGTTTAGATTCCTTAATAAATTGCTTATCTAATAGAAAGTGTCCAATAATAGTTTAAATTAATAAAATATATTTCAAATGAAACTCTAAAAATGAGTTAGAAGTTCTATAGTTTCTACAAAGATCTTTAAGAATAGATCATTTTCAAGTCACCAAACAGAGCTTGCTTTCACTTCCTCACACTACTTAGTGGCCATCTAATCTTTTCACTTTATCTGGACACATATTTATTTTACATAAAGGCTCTTACTATTTTTGTCCACTTTCAAAGCCTTACGGAAAGAAGCCAGATAAACAGATGCTATTCTAAGGTTCAGCAAAGATTCAAGATTTAGAGTATGTCTGCTATGTAAGAATCACTTCCTTTTTCCAACTTCTGTCAAGTTTCCAAGGACAGACTCAACTACAACAGCTAATGATGGTCCCACTGAGGATTCCATTTCTCCTGGGTGCCAAATCCAGAACTCAGCTTTGTTTTGGCCCCTTATGCTAATGAGTCTTCTGTCATTTCTGATTAGCATGAGTACCTTTAGCCACTTGATTTGAATTGAGCAGTCACTTTAGGTCTGTTGACAACGCTTATCTTCTCTTTCTACGGAACCCTGAATATTGTCTGAGTGCTCAAGAACTAGCCTGAATTTACTTCTCTGAGCTAATGATACTCATATAACAAGGTGGTAAAAGTTCTGGGAATGTTCTGCCACTTCCAAGCCAGTTCTGCTCTAAGTCATTTCTATAGTGTAGAGTAATACCTAGTCCATATTCTAGAAGAAATCATGACAAATGGGGGGCACACATTGGCATCATGGGCCTTCTGATCCCTGAGCTCCAGTCAGTCAATTACTCCTTACTGTATGTTACATCAGCTTCTCTAAGGATGTGAAAATAGTATCATTTCTAAATTCTGAGACATAACATTGTAATGAATTGTGACAAGATTCTTTGTTTCTAAAGTTTGATATTAATAGCTAAAGGAATCTACATTATTGATCAATTTCCATATCATTTTGATCCTGAGACTAAAAGGAAATCAAATAATCATGCCTGTTTGTTGGTTTTGGGTTGTATTTTTTCAAACAGCTTTTCTTCAGTCTATTTTCAGCCTAGTTTTCAAAGTCTTTGGTGGGCTAGCCCTGTCCAAGATACTTCACTCTCCACTACCCTTTACCTGGCACTCTGACTAGTGTCAAACTAGTGTTTACGCTGTCCTATAACCACACCACCACATCTCTGTGTCTGGGCCTCTGATCCTATGGCTATACTCCTCTGGAATGGTCCACCTGCCTCCTCCATCTTTCTTTGGCCATTCACTCTTCCAAGTTCCTAGAGTAACTTTACATTTAACATATAACTGCAAATGACCTTAGTAGCATTGACTCTTTATTAGACTACAAGCTCCTAGAGACAGAGCTCAAGGGAAAGTTCTGTTGGGTACTCAGACAATGATAAATACATGGTTAGAACTCACTACCATTTCAAAGTCATTCAAATTGTTTTAGAGCTGGAAGTGACCTTGGAGATCACTTAGTCCTACCTTCCATTTAGTATGGGAGGAATGTGCAGCCCACAATTTACTCATTTATCTATTTGCAAATAAATTATCATTATTCATTCATTTGCATATACTGTAGCAACCAAATTGTAGTTTCCACAAGGATTTAGTAAATATAGGTTGCAGAGAAGAGCAGGTCAGGCAAACACTTAAATGACATTCTGTTATGTGAAACACAGGAAACAAACCTACCTGCAGCTCCAACTGAGCAGGCAGCATTAGAGGAGAGAAAAATAGTTACATTACCAATTGGATTGGAAGACTTCCCTTCAGACGGTCATTACCATTCTGGATAAAAAAGATGAAAGAAAAATACATAGCCCTACTTTTTAGAATGTATGTGAGGAAAACCAAGATAGCTCAAGCAAGACTAACCTCCAAAAGTCACATACATGTGGCTTTTCCTTTGACACAAGGAACCTTGTACTGAAATCAGTGTCTTCTTCAAGAATACAAATACATGAATAGCTAGTCTACGCTTCTACATCCACAGCTTCACTACATGTGTGAGCTTTAGTTTCTTCCTTCAAAAAAAATTAAATCTAGCAAGCATTTCTCTGGACTCATTAAAATATCAGAATAGACAAAGCTGAAAAGATAGTAGCTGGGCAAGAAGAAAAAGGGCAAATTGCAAAATAAAGTAGAATCATGGATGGAAAGATATTAATTCACAGCTTTTTGCTTTTCTGGCTTAGATTTAGGTATTTTTACATAACCTTGAAAGAATATAGATTGAGCGGAAAGTTATATGTGTTTCAATTGCAGGACCCTCATACAGGCTACTGAGATCTGTTACAGTCCCTGGAAGCTGCCAAGTAGCTATGAATGCTTAAATGTATTTTTACAAGAAGGCATGGACTACACTATCTTTCAAGGTCCCTTCTAGCCAATAGGCAAATAAGAAGACCAAAAGAAGTTGACCCAATCTCTCTTGCCCATAGCAAAACTCCTTTGCAGTAGCCCCTATGCAGCGAACCATCCTGAATACAGTCTGACTTATCATCTTTAAACAACAAAACAAAGAAGACCAAAAGAAACATAAACTAAAACAATTGTCCCTCTAGAAACTATAAAGCCTATGAAGTTATACGAAAAATCTCTTTCATCTATAAGTACCAATTAAAGTCTTTTTATGCCCAATTGCCACAAACATGGGCTTTATAACTAGTTTTTGTCAACACTGACATCATGAAAAAAAACCATCATTTTCCACATACAACCCCTACAATTCTTAACTCAGACTCCAATGCTGCCTGTGAAATAATAAGAGAAGTGCACATCTGAATCAGAAGGCATAGAAGCCCTGAAGTTGTGTGGTCCAAAGCCAAGACACAGGTCGCACAAGTGAGACATTGACCAGCTCCTGAACATACAGCTTGACCTGCCATATGAAGGTGGACACAGGTTCCTTTGCATTGATGAGGAGTAACACTTGCCAGTCCCCCCTTGGAGATTATAGATAACTAAGTTTAGTTAACAACTAACTGGAGAGCTATGATTAGACACAGATGAGCCTACCTTAATAAATAATTAGGGCTGGGGGTATGGCTCAATGGTACAGCACTTGCTTAGCATGCATGAGGCCTTGGGTTCAATTCTGACTACCTCAAGTATATGTACACACATATATAAATAAGTGTAGCTCAGTGGCAATGTGCTTGCATAGCATGTGCAAGGCCCTAGGTTGAATCCACAGCATCAAAATAAATAAATATATTTATTTCTCTATTGCTAATCTGTAAACTGAGGGACATGGAGAATGATCCTATTTCAACTGTACAAGTCCAGGACCTGCAAAAATCCAGGCTTCTGTGTGGTATTACTACACTAACTGAATGTATGACAGCCAGAGCAGTCTGTCATAGGACAGAGACATTGAGAAATTGTTAATACTTTTTTTGCATGTGATAAGGACAGATACAAGATTTCAAAGCAGATGGTAAACAGGCTGGAACACAAAGCACTGCAAAACCTGGTGGAGGGGTGGGGGCAGGTGAGCAGCTGGGCAGAGGAAAACACCGTTCCCACTTACTCTGATGCGTTTGGCTCTGCGCATGTCATCAGCTGTCAGAGTGCTCTGGGCGGGCACCACACTCTCTTCGTGCTGCGGCTGCAGGTGTAGGGTGTGAGCTTCTGGTTCGTGCTCCAGAGAAACTGGGGTTTCCTGTGGCAGCTGAGGGATTGGCATAGAGGTCTGTTCTGGCTGATGCAGCCCGTTCAGGGTAGCTGTTTCGGCCTCATCAAACTGCTCCTTTGTGAGAAAATGCAGCAAGTCCTGAGATTGTGATAACCAGGAATTACTTCCCCTACCTAGACAGAGATCAGTGGTAGAGGACTATCGCTCAGGTTTAGAATTGTTGCTTATTTTATTTATCTATTGATTTTAAGAGAGAGGGTCTTGTTATGTTGCCCAGGCTGGCCCCAAACTCCTGGGCTCAAGCTATCCTCCTGCCTCAGCCTCCCAAGTAGCTAGGACTAAGGAATGTGCCACCATGCCCACCTACGGCTCGTCTTTAAATGACTAGCATTAGGATGCTGAGAAAAAATATTCTCCTCTGGGAAAGTTAATCAGATAAACATGAACAGGACAATCTGTAAGATATTCCTGACCACCAAACCAGGAGCAGATTCATACCTACGACCCTTATGAAATAGCAATAATTTTAATGGTTTAAATTATTTAAACAAAGTCCCCCTCTAATATCTTTGGTCAATTTCAAATCTTTAGGGCAGAAAGGCTAGGTTTTTGCTGTAAGTAACACTTGAAAATACATTCTTTTTGTCCTTCACCCTGTCACACTTTAATTAACAGCAAAACTTTGGGATGACAGATGGCAAACATCTGACAGATATTTGTATTTCTTCCTAGTCAGTATTCTGGCAAGTCCTCTACATGAGTGTCCCATCCCCCAGTACCTGTGTCCCATCATCACTCTTTTCCCCATTTTCGCTGGTTATTTCCAAACGGATAAATTTTGGAGGACGCCCTGGCCGTCGACCTGGGCCAAATCGCCTCTTGCCTCGTCCCCTTCCTCTGCCTCTTGTTCTGGGGACAAGAGATTGGGTTACAAATGGTCAAAATTACATCATACTCCATAACAATATTTCCCTAAATGGCCCTTACTAACTCCAGATTTTGAGGTCCTCTCACCTTACTACTTTCCCAATTCTTTCCTCTAATGGAAACAGTTATTTTTGCTAATGTATACTTTCTAAATTTCTCACCTTTGCCTTCTCTACTGCCTAAAGAGGGATCTTAAAATTATTCTTAAAAAGAGCTATAAAAATACAAAGCACTGACAACACTTTGGTTTTACAAAGAGGTGAGAAATGCAGACTGGACAGAATTCACTAAGCCTGTGGTGTGTTCCTAGGGCTGATGTTAGACTAGATTCCATTCTTTCTCTTTTCCCCTGCCTTGGCTCATATTCCTTTCAAGAAATGTGGCTAAATTCAAAGATCCTTTTTGTTTTACCATAGCCTTTATTAAAAGAGACTCCAAAGGGCTGGGGTATAGCTCAGGGGTGGATCACTTGCTTCGCATGCTAGAGGGATTGATTCCTGGCACCAATGATGTGTGTGTGTGTGTGTGTGTGTGTGTGAGAGAGAGAGAGAGAGAGAGAGAGAGAGAGAGAGAGAGAGAGAGAGAGAGAGAGAGACAGGAAGAGACTAATTCCAAAAGAACATCATTAAAACATCTTAAAATCTTTTAGAAGGTGTGATGGTTAATTTTGATTGGCAACTTGACTGACTGGGTGTGTCTGTGAGGGTGCTTCCAGAGAGTATTAACTTGGAGGAAGACCCATCCTGAGTGTAGGCAGCATGGTGCCATAGGCTGGGGGCCTGGATGGAAAAAAAAGGAAAAGTCTGTTAGTGCAGGAGTTTTCTCTCTGTTTCCTGACCCCAGGAAGCTGCTCTGCTCCACTACACCCTCCCTCCCATGATGGACTGAAACCAGGAATAAAATAAATCCTTCCTCTTTTAAAGTGTTTTCTTGAGTATTTTGTCACAGCAGTGAGAAAGCTGACTAATATAATGTGTGTGCTGAGAGTGTATAATATCAATCTGATTTTGTTTTGCTCTTCCACACAGCTAATTAATAATATTTTTTCCAGGAATATTTATTTTGTTGTTGTTTTTGTAACAGGATCTCACTATGTTGCCTAGGCTGGTCCAAATTCTGTAGCTCAAGGCACCCTCCTGACTCTGTCTCCCAAGTACCTGGGACTATTAAGTACCCTCCACCATATCTGGCTTCCAGGAACTTTTACAAGATTCTTTATTATGAAAATTTCTGAACAAAGGCAAATGCAGAGAACAGCATAATAAGCCCAATGCACCAGACCCAAATTTAAACCTTATCAATTCATGGCCAATCTTACCCCATCTATATCCTCATTACCTCCCCATTCATATACCATTAAATCCCAGACATTCTTTTATCTGTGAATATCTCAGTAGATATCTCAAGATGATAGGGACTCTATCTATGTATGTGTATAAATACCATAAGACCATTATTATACTTAAAGCCCTGACAGCTGCTCAGTGTTGTTATATGTACTCAAAATTCAAACTTTCTGTTACGGTTTGAATATGAAGTGTCCCCCTCAAAGAGCTCATATATTGAAAGGTTGGTCTCCAGCTGGTGTGTCCTTTGGGCTGTATTTTGTCCCAGGCCCCTCTCTGTTCCTCCCCTGCTTCCTGTCTACCATAAGGTAAGTACCCTCCACTACATGCTCCAACCACCATGATGTTCTGCCTTGCCATAGGCTCAGAAGGCAAAGCCAAGTTCTGTGCACTGAAATTTCCAAAACTGAGCTAAAATAAATCTTTCCTCCTTGTAAGCTGTCAGACATTCTGTCACAGCCATGAGAAAGTATTTAAAAACCAAAAGTTATAATATAAAAATATTATAATATAGCCATGAACAGAGTTTCAGGGATACCTAGGAGTGAACAAACTTAAATCTCATTGTGTGCACATTGAGACATTTAATACCATATCATTCTTTTTTTTTTTTTTGCAGAACTAGGACTTGAACTCAGGGCCTTGAACTTGCTAGACAGGTGCTTTATCACTTTAGCCACACTGCAAACCCCTGTATCATCCTTAATAAAACCCTACTATCCTGACTCCATACATTGCCACTGACACTTCGTTCCCTCTAGTACCCAGCCTCTTTCCTTCTTAAACCACCAATGAATAACTTCCACTGTCACTCATAGGAATCACCCTATTTGTTCTGATTCTCCACCCACCACCACATGCACACTACTGCTTCTTTACTTGCACTGTGTTCATTGCACTTGGTGAGAGCACAACACCACGTAATTCAATTCCTTGCCTACTCTGTACTGGTGTCTTTGCAGCTGGATTATGCAGGAGGACAACACACAGCCTTGCTGTAGTCTCACTTTCATTTCATGATCATGAAGCTCAAGTGGGCATTTGGTATTGAAGGCAATCGTATGGCATCTCTCCTTCTTTCCCAAATGTGGTTTCATACCATCTCCTATCTTTCTGAACCCTATCGAGGTGGCCAACTCTACGCCTGTCCCACTGTTACCACACTATTCCAAACAGTCCTCATTCTTCACTTGAACTGTTCCAATAGCTTCCACCTGAACTCTGTCTTTACTCTTACTCCAATATAAGCTAACCTGTTGTTTTCCTTTTTATCCAGAGTGATATTTAAAAAAATAACTGACATCACAATACCCTCATCAGAACCCTCTAAGGAGTTCCCATCACACTTAGAATAAAATATAAATTTCTTACCATCACTTGTAAGTCCCTACCTAATCTGGCCCCTGCCTACCACCCTATACAATACTCCCCTCAGCTGTCTTTTTTCTTATATAATGGAATTAACCATAAACTTTAGTCTAATAAAAGAATCATTCTGCTGGAAAAAGTTTAAGAATCAGAGATGTTATCTAGAGGGCTCCTATTTCAGAATCTATGGTGAAGGGAGATTTAAGGTGAAGGGATTTCCCACTGCTTAGAATGGGATAAATAAATAGTAAATAAAGGGGTGGAGACAGATAAAACATTTCCCTCAATAACCTGATTACTTGTCTGAAAACGCACACACACACACACACACACACACACACACACACACACACACAGAGGGAAAGAAACATTCATTAGTTTGTGGATGCATAGATCTGATTCCAAACCTTTAAGAACCAAATTCATGAGCACTTCCCTCTCCTACATACCTGCTAAACACATCCAGTTTCTCATCATGAGAATTGAGGTGCTGTTGCAACTGCTCTGAGCTTATGAACCGGCGGTTACATTCATAGCAAGGCCAATTCTTCTCTTGCTCTCGAAGAACTATAGTCACAGGAGAGAGACCAAAATGGCTAATGATCAACAGGCACCAAAAAAATATAGTTGCCCACTAATTATCTCACGGTAGTCGTATCTGCTATTTGCATTACTTTCTTGTTATAAAATCAAAGACTAAAATTTGGCAGAAAGGTGGTTTTTAGGATCTTATTTTCCAATTATTCATAGAAGACATCAAAGGAACAACACTCTCACATCACCCTCTCTCTCATCCCTCAATACACACATGCGCGCACACACGCACAGAGAGAAAGAGAGAGAGAGACCTCACCACACTGGAAAGACAGAAAGTGCTGCAAAGATCAGGATTCAGATAACTTGATTCAGATCCAAGTTTCATAATTAAGGGTATATTTTATCACAAACACAATGTCCAATATAATCACTTTAATTAAAATGTTCAGAAGTAACTCCTAAGGCTGAATATATGCATATCCTATGACCCAGCAAATCCTCCCCTAGATGTACACTCAGCCAAAATGAGTCCAGATGTTTAACTAAAAGACACTATAAGAATGGTCCCAGCTGTACTCTTCAAAATAGACCCAAACAGCAAACAATCCTGTTTGCATAAGATAAAGAAGCTGTCTGGCTTTTGTGCCTGGTACCTAAGAAGTAACCTCTCAATACCTGGAATTTCCTCAGTAACAGGCAGGGCTTTGTTGTTCATGGTGGGTCTATGCTCTGCTGAATTTATTGTGATGAGATGTTTGTGGGGCAGGTTGCTGGCGCTTGTGAACCAGGCAATACATCAGCCCCACTCATAGAGGGGAAATGGGAGCTAGAGGTTGAGCTGAATCACATGGCCAACAATTAACCAGTCATGGCTATGTAATGAAGTCTCCATTAAAAACTCCAGACAGCAAAGCCCATGTGAGCTTCTACGGTTGGTAAAGACACATCAGCCAGGAGGATAACAATGTTCTGAGAACACAGATGCTTCATTTAAGGACCTTCCCCAGACTTCATCCTATGCCTCTTCATTTGGTTAGTGCTGATGTGTATCCTTTATAATAAAACCTGTAAGCATTAAATAAAGCTTTTCCTGAGTTTTGTAAATTCTAGTGAATTATCAAACCTGAGGGGGTACTTGGAGCTCCTTAAATTGGTGCTAGTTGGTCACAAGTGTGAGTGACTTAACAACCACAGAGCTTACAGCTAGTGTCTGAAATGAGGGAAGTCTTGTGGAAACTCTTAACCTGTGAAATCTGACCTAATTTGGGGTAATTACATCATAATTACATTATACAACCAAACTACAGTAAAACAGATAAATAAATCCTATACATTCATACAATAGAATTACAAACAGCAGTAAGAATGAACAAATTACAATCATCTACAATGTGGATGAATCTCAAAAATACAATGTCGAGCAAAAGAAGCCAAGAACAAAAAGTGTACAAATCAAGTGTTCATTAACAAGCAACTCATGTGTGTTACTAGAAGTCAGGAGCATATTTACACATGGGAATTTACACAGGTGTGTTCATTGTGAAAATTCATTAAGCTGTATACTTAGTGATTTGTGCACCTTTTTGTATATACATTGTACTTCAACGACATTTACATTAAAAACAAAGTCAATGCCTGCCTTGCTCTGTCCTCAGGAACGATTAAGTCCAGATAGGATCATCCTCTGACACTAAGGTTCTAATTTGCTATTCAAAGGTTTTCATTATATTAAATACTATTTTCCTGCACCCATGAAAGAAATGTAAATATGTCACTCTAATTTGATGCTAAAATTAGATGGAGATTCATAGCTCTGAGAAACCTACTAGAGGAGCTTCTAAAATATATTAAGATGGAAAAATTAGAGGTTGCATAAAGATGTAATATACACAAGTTAGAATCCACGGAAAAAGGTACAATATAAAAAAGTGCGACCACCTTTCCTTTCTTCCTCAGAAATGTCATGAATTTTCTGGTTCACGAACTCAGCATAGGACGCAGCATACCACACCTACAAGAACCAAGGACATCATCAAGACCTAAGGACATCACCAGACGCGCTTCGCATGCTTAAATTATTTCTCCTGCTCACATGAAACAATTCATTTAAAAAGAAGATCACACTGGAGAAACCCCCCACATACACACACCAATTCCCATCTGGCAGATCATCCATCAGGAAGTTCAGTTGTCAATACACACTGCCTGTTTCTCTCTTCCTTTTTAAAAAAATTGTTTTTGTTATTGGAACAACTTCACAAGAATTGTATTTATAGTCTATGTAAATAAAACAGCCTCTGCTGATTTTTTATCTATATTTAAACACAGGTTTTGATACAGTGTAGGTTTTGATAGTGTAATCACTACAGAAGCTGCCACCAAATAACTCACTCTAGGATCTCCAATGGGACTGTGAAATACTCCCACACGCCCCTGGGGCTCCTCTTCCGTCCTCCCCCACTGGCTGCTTCTGCTCACTCTCCTGGGTCTCCTCATTCTCTACCTAATTTCTAAATATTGGTATTCCTCAAAGCTTGACCAAGTCCTGGGCCTTCTTATTTCTCTCTCCATTGTCATTTCCAACCAACTCTATGCTAATGACACCCGAACGAGTAGCTCAGCTCCATACCCTCCTCTGTTCCCTCTAAGTACATTCTACTACTTAGGTGATACTTGGGATGGCTCATCAATAGCTCAAACTTAACATGCCCAGGTAGAATACTCAGTGCTTCCCAACTTCTACCTGTCTTCTACATCTCAAATTTTAAATGTCCTACCTTCCATCCTGGTGCTCAGTCCTGAAACCTAAAAGATGTCTTTGATTTCTGTTTGCTTCTTTAATCCTAAACAAGGACTGTCCTCAGATGGGACACATTGTCTGTTCAGTGCTTCAGCCACCCAGATGCATGCCAACACCACCTCTTGCCTGGCCTTCCAACTCACTTCCCCATTTCCTTGCAATCCCCACAGGAATGGAGTAATCTTTTGTGTGTGTGTGGTTTGAACTCAGAGTTTCATGCTAGCAAAGCACATGCTCCACCCCTTGAAACATACCTCCAGTCCCTTTTCTCTGGTTATGTTGGAGATGGGGTCTCCTGAACTATTTGCACAGGCTGGCCTCAAACCATGATCCTCCTGCTCTCAGCCTCCCAGGTAGTTAGGATTACAGGAGTGAATCACTGGCACCTGGCTTCAGAGTGCTCTTCTTAAAACACGATCAGATTTTGTTGGGCTAGAAATGGCTCCTCAATTCATAATACATCTGAAATGCTCAGTGGTGATCCCCGAAGGGTTCTATGATCTCCCCTACCTCAATAAGAAACTTCAGCCCTTGTCACTTTATCCACTGTTGGTCCACGAGGGCCTGCTCTCAGCTCCAGGACTTTCCTACCCGAAGCGGTCACCTTGCTGTTTTACCCCCAGGAATGTGAGGTTCCTTTGCTCTTCCAGTCACCCTCTGCAGGGTTGGCTGCTTTTCATTCCACAGTCCTCAGCCTATCACTGCTCCAGCAAGGCCTTCCCTAGGCAGAACACTAACCTGGCCCCTTTCCTGTTACTTCCTCTTTTGGCGCCATGGCAAAGTCCTATTTGATATTATTTGCTTATTTACATCTATCTGTTCACTTCCCCTCTAGAATAAAAGCTCCCTAACACAGGGAAGCAGTCTGATATTTTCCCTAGTGTCTGAAACACAGTTGGAGTTCAATATGTTAATCTCTAAATGAACTAATCATATATAATTTTAGAATGTTAAATATATGAGAATATTTATATAGGGTGACTTCATTCTTAACTGTGGAATAATATTCTGTAGAGTTAAATAAATTCCATAATTTATTTAACTATGCCCAGTACAACTGTAGTTGTGTTATTTTAGATGGTTTATCATTTTGCTGTTACAAATTCTATCCTAATCCATCAATTCCGAGATGTATATTTTTTCTTTATCTTTTTGCGGTACTGGGATTTGAACTTGGGGCCTCACACTTGCTAACCAGGTACTCTTCCACTGAGCCATGTTCCCAGCCCCTTATTTTTTTGTATTTTAACATCTCAGAAATCTGAGCATAGCTGGCTGTGGTGGTGCATGCCTGTAATCCTGAGTGGCAGTGTTAGAGAAGCTGAGGCTGGAGGATCTGGAGTTCAAGGCCAGCTGGGCTCTACAGCAAAAACCCTGTCTCAAAAAAAAAAAAAAGATAAGTTAAATTTTATCTGAGAGAAAGAGAGAGCATGCAAAAGAGAGAAGGAGAGAAGAGAAGGAGGAGGAGAAAGAGAAAAAGGAAAGGTGTCCCCCCACTTGGGATACAGACCCTGTGACGAAGTGCTCACTACCTGCTCACCAACTTTAGTTAGGATGCCACTGACTTGTTGACACTTGCTCAGCAATGCCGATGAAGGCCAAAACCCCTGCCATTTCTCTCAGAATCAACAATAGATAATTCAAAGCAGTACAAGGGTAGTGAGCACCCTACAGGACCTGTCATCAAGGCATCAGAATTGTCACAGAAACTTCCTACAGATTTGATCAAGAAACACTTTACTTCCAAGGCCAGGTGATGCAATTCAGGAAAACTACCCAGATGAATTTCAGCACATGGAAAAGCACAGTGTCCACACTTGTAGAAAGACTCTCAGTGATGTGGGGAAACATCCAAGCACATCCCAGCCTAGAGGCAAGAGTAGAATGCTTATTTTTAAAATATTGCAGGAGCCCAGTGTGGTGGCACACACCTGTAATCCTAGCACCTGGGAGGCTGAGGCAGTAGTAAGTTCAAGGCCAGCCTGAGCTATGTAGAGAGACCCTATTTCAAATTAAAAAAAAAAAAAAAAAAGCAGGGCTGGAATGTTGCTCTTGTGGCAGAGCATATGCTTAGCATTCTTAAGGCCCTGGGTTTAATCCCCAGCACCTTCCCTACCAAAAATATATGTACGGAGGCATCATCAATACTTGGGTTTTTTGTTTGTTTTTTGTTGTTGTTGTTGTTTATTTTATTTATTTATTTTTTTGAAAGAGAGGATCACACTAGATAACTCAGTCTGGTCTAGAACTCACAATTCTCCTGCCTCAACCTCCCAAGCGCTGGGATTACAGTTGTGCACCACCATGTCCAGCTTCATCAACACCGCTGATGGGACAAAAGACAACAGCAAACAGAAAAGCAGGCCTCTCTGATGGAGTAGAACAGTGATGCGGGAGGGGCTACACTGAACACAATACAGTTTACACCTTCGCCAACTGATTTTGTCTACGTATGCCATTTTATGCTTGCACAAGTGTGGCGTGATTTTTAAATTATTTCTAGTCAAATCTAAAACAGCTGCTTCAATAAGTATAAAATAACCCTTTTCATTTAAAAAAAACACTATAAGACAGATTACATGGTAATATTTTTTTCCTAATGGTGTATAAAATAATGGTGCATCTTAATGTTGTTGGTGTCTTGGGATCAGGAAAATGTGGCATTACCAAATTCCAACCTATGTACTTCCATCTTTGTTGATAATTATTTCCTCAGACTAACCTACAAGGATTTGGTTTACTTGGCCAAGAATAGTTTTGCTGCATGTATCCAGAGATAATTTTACAAATTAAGGCAATTCTGTAGTTGACATCCCTGATTTTTTTTAAACCTTCACATTTATTGTATCCATTTATTTTTGCTAATTTAAATTAACTAACATAGTAATGCTGTTTTAAGGGATTTTTTTGTTTGTTTCCAATGCTGGGATTCAACCCACAGCCTCACACGTACTAGAAACACTCAACTGCTGAGCTTATATCTCCAGGCCTTCAAGCATTCTAAAAATTATTAGCATAAAGAACTTACTTAAGCATTTCTTTACTATTTGTTTCCTCCAAATAAAGTCTATTCCTGGCATTTGTTAATTTGTCTGTCTGAGTGCAGTGAAGCTGGAGGTATAAAACTTTCTCAGTTTGTAGGCCTCTGGCCTGTGTTACAAATATTCCCCTCAATCTATTGCTTCCTTTTTATCTGTTGCTTTGGTTGGTTGTTATACTGAACTATTACATTCTTATGTAATTTTTCTGTCCGTCTTTACCTCTACAGTACTATCTACTGGTTTAAAAGAGAGAAGTGGGCTGGAGGTAGAGCCCAGCAGTTCCATCCCACATGCCCAGCGCTATAAAAAGAAGAGAGAAAATCTCTGTACGGTTAAGAAGTATTCACTTCAGTTTTTTCTTATTAAAAAATGGACCTAGCTAGGTGTGGTGACACACACCTGTAAGCACAGCACTGAGGAGGCTAAGGCAGGAGGATTGAGAGTTTGAGGCCAGTCTGAGCTACACAGGGAGACCCTGTCTCTAGGAGTGTAAGTGGTAAGACCTTAGGGCCCCACACCCCCACAAAAGTATTCAGCTAGATGATGTAAAATATATTCTTTAATATACTTTCTTCAGTTTAATGAATTATCTAGCTGATCATTTCAAAGACATAGGATGTTTTTTGGGTTTTTTTTTTTTTTTTGTAGTTTTTACACAAAACCCCAGACTTTGTTCTCCCCAGGAGAAGAGGGACCAGCTTCTAACTTCCATCACACAGACTGTACAGTCAGGGCTCATGTACTGATAGTGTCACTTCTCACCTGTTTTTCAATTGTTATCAGGAAGCTAAAAAGTAGTTTGATTTCCTCTCTTAACCATGTTCCTAATATAAGCTTTGGGGGAGGGGGGAAGAAAAGAAAAGGAAAAGGAAGCCGGGTATGGTGGCATAGGCCTGGAATCCAGATCTTGGCTGGAGGTGTAGCCTACTGGTAGATCATTTACCTCTCATGTACAAAGCCCTGGGTTTGATCCCCACCACTAGGAAAAAAAATTTAAAAAGGAATTTTCACTTAGAAGCATGATAGAATTTTTATTATGTTATTAAGAGTTAATATTTAGACAAATTCTAACAGTTATCCCCTGAAAATATATTACTGAAGTCAGAAGTCAGCACATAGAATTCCCTGAATAAAATGAAATATTTAGATAAAAGAAAGGGAATCTTGCCCATACATCTGAATTTCATTTTACAAAATCTCCCATTTCACAACTAATTCTTCTTTAGTACATATAAGTGATGTCAAGTGATACCATCATTAATCACCCCATCACAAATACAGTCTGTTCCCCAAAACCATTACTTCCAAATCCCTGGGCCTTCCTATAAGCCCTTGATGGCACAAAAGCACTTTGGGTGAGCACTTTTCATTCTTTGTATTCACTGGATTATTGAAAGTGTGCAATACGTAGTACAGTTAGCGGTCCATATCCATGGGTTCCACCAACCGCCAACTGAAAATATTCATGGAAAAAACCCCAGCATCTGTACTGGACACATAAGACTTTCTTCCTTGTCATTATTCTCTAAACAATTCAGTGTAACAACTATTTACAAAGCTTTCTATTGTGGCAAGTATTATAAATAATCTAGAGATGATATGCATAGATTCCGTGCAAATATCATACCGTTTTATATAAAGGATTTGAGCATCCATTTTGGTATCTGGTGTGTGTGTGTGTGTGTGTGTGTGTGTGTGTGTAACTCATTCCCTGAGGGAATATTCAGTAAATAAGTAAATTGTCAGGAAAAGACCATTTTGTAGTGGGGGGGTGGCGGGGGGAAACCTAAGAAAAGCCCTAAGCAATCACTTGTGAACAGATGGCACTGTGGATCCAGCACTGTACCTTTAGTTCCTGCTTGGGCTCCACGTTCTTTATGGTTGTATAATACACATGGTGGCCATATTGGTAAGCCACTAGGTTCTGTTCCAGGTGGTTCTGGGCTGGACGCACAAACATCATCCAATTACAAAGGGACTCATCAGACAATTCAAACCACAGGTCTTCATGCAAATCCCTGTCTTTTCTGTCCCCTTTATCAAGAGAAACCTGCAACCAAAGAGAAGGTAGAATGCCTCAGCAAGATAAACAACAAACAAAAACTTCAGAGTGATACATATTAACCTATAAAATATGCAGCCTGAGCCTTCCCTTTGTGTCCAGAAATTGTGATTTGCCAAATGCAAAGGAAAAGAATATTTCCTAAAACCTCACCAACAGGAGAATCATCTAGAAAAATCTAAAAGTTCACAGTCTAACTGCATAATTTTAATTAACACTACATAAAGCTAACACAACAACAACAACAAAAATGCTATAAATAATTAGGCAAGAAGAAGGAATAAAAGGAATACAAATAGGTAAAGAAACTGTCAAAATATCCCTATTTGCAGACAACATGATCCTATACCTTAAAGACCCAAAAAACTCTACTCAGAAGCTTCTAGACATCATCAATAGCTATAGCAAGGTAGCAGGATATAAAATCAACATAGAAAAATCATTAGCATTTCTATACACTAATAATGAACAAACTGAAAAAGAATATATGAAAACAATTCCATTTACAATAGCCTCAAACAAAATCAAATACCTAGGTGTAAACCTAACAAAAGATGTGAATGACCTCTACAAGGAAAACTATACACTTCTGAAGAAAGAGATTGAGGAAGACTATAGAAAGTGGAGAGATCTCCCATGCTCATGGATTGGTAGAATCAACATAGTAAAAATGTCGATACTCCCAAAAGTAATCTACATGTTTAATGCAATTCCCATCAAAATTCCAATGACATTCATTAAAGAGATTGAAAAATCTACTGTTAAATTTATATGGAAACACAAGAGGCCACGAATAGCCAAGGCAATACTCAGTCAAAAGAACAATGCAGGAGGTATCACAATACCTGACTTCAAACTATATTACAAAGCAATAACAATAAAAACACCATGGTACTGGCACAAAAACAGACATGAAGACCAGTGGAACAGAATAGAGGACCCAGATATGAAGCCACACAACTATAAGCAACTTGTCTTTGACAAAGGAGCTAAAAATATACGATGGAGAAATAGCAGCCTCTTCAACAAAAACTGCTGGGAAAACTGGTTAGCAGTCTGCAAAAAACTGAAACTAGATCCATGTATATCACCCTATACCAAGATTAACTCAAAATGGATCAAGGATCTTAATATCAGACCCCAAACTCTTAAGTTGATACAGAAAGAGTAGGAAATACTCTGGAGTTAGTAGGTATAGGTAAGAACTTTCTCAATGAAACCCCAGCAGCACAGCAACTAAGAGATAGCATAGATAAATGGGACCTCATAAAACTAAAAAGCTTCTGTTCATCAAAAGAAATGGTCTCTAAACTGAAGAGAACACCCACAGAGTGGGAGAAAATATTTGCCAACTATACATCAGACAAAGGACTGATAACCAGAATATACAGGGAACTTAAAAAACTAAATTCTCCCAAAACTAATGAACCAATAAAGAAATGGGCATGTGAACTAAACAGAACTTTCTCAAAAGAAGAAATTCAAATGGCCAGAAAACACATGAAAAAATGCTCACCATCTCTAGCAATAAAGGAAATGCAAATTAAAACCACACTAAGATTCCACCTCACCCCTTTTAGAATAGCCATCATCAGCAACACCACCAACAACAGGTGTTGGCGAGGATGCGGGGAAAAAGGAACCCTCTTACACTGTTGGTGGGAATGTAGACTAGTACAACCACTCTGGAAAAAAATTTGGAGGCTACTTAAAAAGCTGGACATTGATCTACCATTTGATCCAGCAATACCACTCTTGGGGATATACCCAAAAGACTGTTACTCCAGAGGCACCTGCACATCCATGTTTATTGCGGCACTATTCACAATAGCCAAGTTATGGAAACAGCCAAGATGCCCCACCACTGACGAATGGATTAAGAAAATGTGGTATCTATACACAATGGAATTTTATGCAGCCATGAAGAAGAACGAAATGTTATCATTTGCTGGAAAATGGATGGAATTGGAGAACATCATTCTGAGTGAGGTTAGCCTGGCCCAAAAGACCAAAAATCGTATGTTCTCCCTCATATGTGGACATTAGATCAAGGGCAAACACAACAAGGGGATTGGACTATGAGCACATGATAAAAGCGAGAGCACACAAGGGAGGGATGAGGATAGGTAAGACACCTAAAAAACTAGCTAGCATTTGTTGCCCTTAACGCAGAGAAACTAAAGCAGATACTTTAAAGCAACTGAGGCCAATAGGAAAAGGGGACCAGGTACTAGAGAAAAGGTTAGATCAAGAAGAATTAACCTAGAAGGTAACACCCACGCACAGGAAATCAATGTGAGTCAATGCCCTGTATAGCTATCCTTATCTCAACCAGCAAAAACCCTTGTTCCTTCCTATTATTGCTTATACTCTCTCTACAACAAAATTAGAAATAAGGGCAAAATAGTTTCTGCTGGGTATTGAGGGGGGGAGAGGGAGGGGGCGGAGTGGGTGGTAAGGGAGGGGGTGGGGGCAGTTGGGAGAAATGAACCAAACTTGTATGCACATATGAATAATAAAAGAAAAATGAAAGAAAAAAAATTTAAAAATAAATGTTATTAAAATAGAAAAAAAAAATGCTATAAATAAGCCAGAAAATGCAAGCATCAGAAAATGATAATCTCCAGTTATCATAAATTGCCTCCTTTGGAAATTCAACCATATTCACTCATAAAAGGCAGCCCAGAGATAGGTATTCATTTCTCCTCATAAAGTAAAATTCTTGCTTGGAGCTCTTGAGCACTCATCAAAGAAAACCTTCCCATGAGAGCAGGTAATTTCTCAAAAAACTACATGCAAGACATTCAAACCCTCCCACTGTCCCTTCTCAGCCCTCCAGAGTAGCTATTCAAAAAGGAGACAGCAATGGGGCTGGCTAGAAGCAAAAGCATCACATGGGAAGAATGAAGGTCACAATAAATATACTTCAACATAAAGGGAAATACTCTTGAACCAGAAAAGTTCAAGAGGACAGGTATGTTTCAAAATTGAAAAATGGTTTCTTGCAAACATTACTGCACACAGCAGATTACATATATCTACATGATTCTCTTTGTATCCCAACGTTGTATTAAAAATAAAAAGAAAATGACTGTTACGGGTTGGATCTTGGGTCCTCTCCCCCGCTCCAAATTCATGTGGAAGCCCTACAACATCCCAGTACCTCAGAATACAACTGCATTTGGAGATGGGCCTTTAAATGGCTGATTGAGTTAATATGACATCATTAGGGCGGGCTCTAATCCATTATGACTGGTCCATATAAGATGAGACAAGAACACAGATGCACACAAACACCAAGGGAAGACCCTGTGAGGACACAGTGAGGAGGTGGCTATCTGCTAGCCGAGCAGAGAGACCTCAGAAGAAACCCACCCTGCCAAAACCTTGATCTTGGACTTCCAGCCTCTAGAGTTGTGAGAAAATAAATTTCCATTGTTTAAGCCTCCCAGTCTGTGGCATTTTATTATGGCAGCTCTAGCAAAGTACCACAGCCCCCAAGAGCTACACGTCTCAGAACTACTCATATATTGCCTTAAGTGGCTGGAATTACCATCTCTATTTTATTAAGGGTAGAGAACAAGTTTCCAATTAAAACAAATTAAGCATAAGAAGAAAAATACAAACACACCTACTACCATGCATGGAAACAAAAGGCTCAGTAGAAAAACGAGTGCCCTGAAAAGCTTTTAACAGAAGGAAATGAGGAGCAAGCATAGATTACCTTGAGATGAATGTAACAGTCTTTCAGCTCAGACCCCCTGACCAGGGGTCCCTCCACAGGGCCAAACTGAGTGCGTTTGGGAATGCGCCTTTTGGAGAACACTCCTCCAAGGAACCTGTCTATGTAGAGGACCAGGGGGAGACTTGCTCTCGCCCGAGTGAGCACAGGCCGGTTGGGGATGGGATGCAAGGGGCCATGCTTTGGGCACACTGAAGAATGTGCGTTATTACACTCTTCACACCCTACAAGAGAAAGAAAGTCTTGAAGAAGTCAAATTCTTTCACATGACTTGATCTCAGAGAAAAGGGTCTGATCTGAAATTTTTCCCATGTCTAAGCTCTCAGGCCAAAAGTCAATTAACTCCTACAAAGGTGTTACCCGTTCCACAGTAAGACGTTAGTTTTCATAAACTAGTAAAACGCTGCAATTTTTCTCTAAAATCAGGCAGAATTTGCTTCTCCCTGCCAAAAATAATACACAGGCTATGACTTGTATTTCTCTAGTAGATAGTAATTTGAATAGCGGGCACTAAATTTACAAATCAATTATAAGAGAAAGTTTATTAGACTAAGTGTTGCAAAATCTGATGAGGCAAAATTATTGAAATAAAGCTGCTAGGAAAAAAATAATCCTGACAATGTTGTTGAATCAATTTCCTCAAAGGGAGATAGAGAAGTCTCACTATGAGGGCATGTCTAACTCAGACAAAGGGCTGTACGATTTGAGATTACGAGGCTGTCTGATAAGCAAAAATGATTGTGAATTCAGCATCCCCTCCTACATTCCCCTGGACAGCCTGGTTAGCCCAGCCCTGACAGGACATGCTTTTCAGCTCACTGTAGAACTCAGTTTGCCCTAAGCCAGGTACTTTTCCTCTCCCCTTTCCCAGTAGCACCCATCTGTAAGTTAACTGCCCAGATGAGAAACTCGTGGTACAAAAAGGGAAAGCAACATGGTCACAAAACAGGGAAAGTGACAGGGTCACAGAGTTCCTTCTCATCATGCTTTACCTCCGCCGGCCATGTGGTGACCTGGTTTAGATATTTTCAATCACTACAGTTCTCAAATAATGGAGAGTGACTTTGTATTAATACTTATAAGATAAAGTCGCCCTCTGTGCATTTGATGTAGGAGTTGCCTTGAAAACTTATGAATTCAAGGAAAAATGAAACAAGGAAGTTCTCTGTTGGATGGGGATTAGGAACAGGGTTGAATGCTGGCCCCATGCAGACAGGTTTATAGGCACCACACAGAAGGCCTGGGAGAAAAAGCACAAGGCCACATGGCTCTGACCAGCAAGGTCACTTAAGTGAATGAGGTCACACTTTGGCACATGAGCATGAAAATCCAAAGAAAGAAACCATGATTCAGAAGGTGGCAGCTGAAGCCACACAGGGAGGAGACAGGGACAGTAAGTGTCATGCTGAGGCCACAGTAGAGGGGCCAGGCCTGATCTGGACTCCAGATGCTCAATGCACTAGCTGAACCTGCTAAGACTGTAGCATGCACCAAATGTATTAGTCAGCATGAAACATCAGTGCCTGGCCATGGTAAGCATTTTTAAAGGATCTATCAAAAGATAAAGCAGCAAAGAAAACTCATTAGAGCTGAAAGGGCTAAATAGTGCAGGACCGGACCAATGTGCTATGGTGGTTAGGTATCAAAGAAACCCAGGCATGAATGTCTGAACCCCCAATTTTCTTCATCAGTAAAATTGAAAAGCAAACACAAGTGTCAGGGAAGACTGAGCAGGATGAAACACATGGGCACACTGCACAGTGTATACAGTCTTGGATGGTCTCCGTGTGTGAACTATTTCACACTCACACACACTCACAACAAAGCTTCCTCCCAGTCCAGTGCCTGTACTTACACAAATCGTGAGGGTCAAAGGGCCGGGGTGGGTCTGGCTCCCAGTCATCCAGATCTGTATCTTCACCATCTTCCTCTTCCTCTTCTTCAGTATCCTCATCCTCTTCCTCATCCTCTTCCTCTTTTGCCTCCAGTCTGGCAATTGGGTTCTGCAGAGTTGCCAAGGGGTCAGAACCATCCACACTCTCAATGGAGGGCAGCACCTGGTTAGGCACAGTTAATGAGGCCTGGACCGAAGTTTAAGGCACAAAGTGAGCAGATCACTGTTTTTAGTCAGCTGGGACTCACACACACACACACAGGGGACACAGTTGTGGTGACATACATTCTTCACATCAGCTCCCTGAAAAGATGGCTTCTACCTGTTAGGCAGAGTCTGACTTCATTTTGGATGTCTGATGCTCTTAGATTTTAAGCTCAGCCCTCCCTCCTCCTCTCTGACCATATCTGGCAGGCTGAAAAGAAAGCTTGGGTCACTTTCCTTGGAACCAGCAGCAAGTTCAAACTCAACAAGGCCTTACACTGCGAACACCTGACTGCACACCTGACCCCAGTGCAGCCTAGGCTCCTCTTCTTGCTTCCACAAGCCACTTCACATCTGCTGGGAGAGGCCTCCCTGCCTCCCTAGGAACTTCCAGTACCCAGGCACATAGAGGCAACACCACCCCCTGGGGTGGGGGGCCTCAGTCTTCACAACTGAACTAAACCTGAGTTGAGGTCCTTCCTGCCCTTTCAGAGTAGATTTGGCCTCTCTTCAAAATCACTTTGCTTGTCTATTTTTAAGAGACATGGTCTCACTCTGTTGTCCAGGATGACCTCAAAATCCTTGGCTCAAGTGATCCTCCTACCTCAGCCTCTGGAGTAGCTGAGACTATAGGCACCCACTCCCCATTCCCCCTACCCGCCCCCAAACACTTCTTTTTTCTTTTATTGCTATGGCAGGCCTCAGCATATGCTAGGCAGGCAAGTACCATTCTGCTGAGCTGCATCCCCAATCCCTACCTCACTTTTAAAACCAAAGCATGCTACATGTGGTTGGTAAATTTTATGGCTAATAGCTCTCATTTCAAAAGCTTCAGAGAGCCTGAGGTTTTTGGGAAAGAAAGAGGTACCTGTTGGTTTCCTCATGGTGAAGTCAGTCTGGCAAATAAACTGAGGTCTGGGTGACATATAATGTTACCTTACCAAATACACAGACCAAAAGTAAATGGCACCTTACAAAATTCTCCTGCCTCCACAGTGACTGTTATGGAGTTCTACTACCCAAGATTCTTTTTATCCCATCTCTTCTCTCCTGTCCCAAAGCCCATAGGACGTACTCAAGCCACGTACCCTTCCCAGTCAATAAATCAAGCAAGTGTTTAAATGTGTCTACTCCCCTTTTCATTACCTTCCCTCTGTTTTCCTCTGCTAGAATGTTCCTCTCCCACCAGAGTTCACATAGCTGAACTTCTGGCTCCCTGTCTTCATTTATTCCACAGTGATTCCATGTTCATATGAGTACAGTGTCGGAATGCATTCACATCTGTGACAGCCACTGTCCTACTGGGAACTCAACTTGAACTTGCAGATAACTAAAATCACTGAGTCCTTTCTCCCCGCATAGGGAGGCATTGTTAAACCATCTTCCCCCTCCTCAGGACTTAAATAGCCAATTTTTACTTAAATAAGGAATTTTGCATGTATCTCCAGCAAATTTATTTTATTACTTTTATCTGTTCTTTCAGACTGCCAAGATCTTTTTGAGTCTTGATTCTTTCATCTCACACATGAGCCGCCCCTCCTAGCTTTGTATCCATCTATTTTGTTCACAGCACGCATTTTCCCAAGAGTCTATCTTATGCCTCTCCAAATGCACCTCAGAGAATAGACCATAGCTTTGGAGTCAGATCAATTTACACTAAAATCCTGGCCCCACAACTTAGCGAGTTACTAAACTTCTCCGACCCTAAGGTTCTTCATCTGTGAAATGGACACATGAATACATACCATGCAGCACTCAGTGTTTGATATTAATAACATATTATTTCCATGGTAAGTTCTCTCTCTCTCTCTCTCTCTCTCTTTGCACAGAAACTTGTACAGATTAGGCAAGGGCTGTATCACTAAGCTGTATCCTCAGGCTGGCCTTGAATTCACTAGGTGGACCAAGCTGGCCTCAAACTTGTGATCCTTCTGCCTTTGCCTCCTATGTGCTGGGATTACAAGTGTACACCACAATACCTGGTGCTTAGTATTATTAGCTCTTTAAGAAGCAAGGTGACATCACATACTTTTACAATTTTGAAAGGCATGTTAAGCATGTAGTAGATGTCCCACAAAGATGAGTTTGTTGAAATATACTTGGCCCTTCCGGAAATGACGTCATTCTCTTCAGATATCTAGAAGGACTCTGCTGCTATTCCCAGAAACATCCTTTCTCTGTTATGCATCTAAATGCAAAAATGTTTTTTTCTTTTGAGACAGGGTCTCGCTATGTAGCCCAGGCTGTCCTTGAACTTGAGATCCTTCTGGCTCAGCCTCCCCAATGGGGGGAGCACAGGAGTATACCTGTGTACCACCATGCCCAGCTTCTTTAATTCTATAAAGAAAATGTTGAGTGCATTTATGCGGTCTGAAATGTTGCAATAGTTGAAGACCACAGCCAACATTTGAAACATTCAGACTACAAAAAGCACATCAAATCAGCTACCTCGAGTAGCATGCACAGGTCTTGTTTTCCTTCCCTTCCCTTCTTTCCCAGTGTTAAGGATTGAACTCAGGGCCTTATGCATGTTAGTCAAGCACTCTATACCTGAGGTATAAAATCCTTGGTTTTTTGAGACAAGAGTCTCACTGCATAGCACAGGCTGTATTGAACTTGAGATCCTCCTGTCTCCACCTCCTGATTGCTGGGATTACAGGCACTCACTACCATTCTTGGTATCTATATTTGTTGATTTGAATTTAAAACATTTTTTATTAAGAGATAGGGTCTCACTATGTTGCCTAGGCAGGCCTGGAACTTCTGAACTACACAAACAGCTTGTGTGCACATGGTTTTTATTATATGTATGTATGTGTATGTATGTTTGTTTCTCTGGTACTGGGAAAGCACTTAGGCAAGTGCTCTACCACTAAGCTACACCCCCAGTCTTTTTAAAAAAATTAGTTTGAGAGCTTGTTTGGAGGTTCCAGCAGGGAAATGAGGCTACTCATATACTGTTCACCAAAGAACAGTCTTCCTCTATCAGGGATTGGTCGTCCTCTTTGACCAAGCATGCACCTTCAGGAGGGACACACATGAAGCAGTAAGGGAGGAGGGCAACACCAGCTTAGCCAGTCAGATCAGTCAAACCAAACCTGGCAATCAATGGGTGAAAAATTCACAGCCAGATCACCCTCACATCCAAAAAATTTTATTTTGAGAAAAGGCCTCCCTAAGTTGCCCAGCCTGGTCTTGAACTTGCAATCCTCCTGCTTCCACCTCCTGAGTAGGAATAGTTGAAACTGCAGCTATGAACCACCACACTCAGCATACACATGTTTTAACATACATCATTCAACCCAGACTTTTGTATGACATTCTATCTTTGTAACTCAGGACCTTTCAGGAAGTTTTCTGTGGGAGGATAGAATTCTAGCAGGTGCTCTGCCTCAGCACCTACTGAGGACAAGAGTGGAACAGGGAGCTCCAAGGCAGTGCAGCCTTTTGGCCTCCTCACCACATCCTGCAGGAAAGCAACTTCATTCCCACTCACCATCTCAGAGCAGTTGAGTATAGTGCCCTGAATTCTAAGCCACTGAAATCAGATGCCTGCATCAGTGATGAATGCTATCACATGGTGAACAACCAAAGCACACATGCACCTCTGAGCCTCAGAAATTCTTTGTCTCTGTGCAGAGCCAACCTGAAAGAATGAGTTCAGCCATTCAGAGTTATCCTAGGAAAGCTGTGATGATGCTTTTTTTTTTTTTCCCCTCAACAAATGCTGTTAGAAGGACTCTGTTTCAGCAAGGTTGTGGCTGGCTTCTCGCCACTGCTGGGAAAGCAGACATCAAAACAGTACCAACCTTCACCTCCCCCATGCTGGAAGGCTGGAAGGCTCCCAAAAGACTAGCAAAGGACAGACTTGAACACTTCTGCCTTATCATTAAGGACTGATGCTAAAACAAAGATAAGCATCTAGCAGAATTACAAACACTACTATTGGAAAGGACTTGAAAGGGTGGATGTTGATCATTTCTAGGTAAGACAACACAGACCTGAACACAGAGTAGGACCCATTGCAACTCAGTTTGTTCAAACTCATCTGACATTTACTGGGCATTAGGCATACATTCAGATTTCTCTGAGGCCAGGTGTTACCACGCAGCTCTAAGTGGCAGAGATGAAATCCAAATTCTGCCTCTGCCCAGCTTTTCCACTGTGTCACAAAGGCCCCTGTGGAATTCAGTCTGTTCTAGGAAGGGCCACAGAAAGGTAAACAGCTCCCCTACCTCCCACTCCCCGCACCTGAATACCAGGGCAACAAGGTGACACACACGATCCTAAGGTAACAGGCCGGCAGTGGGTGGGAACGCAATGTAAGCATACTGAACTCAGAGGAAAAGAAGAAAGAAACGAGACTATTTTAGTCCTGTTCACTCTGTCATGTACAATCAAACAGTAAAGGAAAAATGAATTTGTTCAGCTTATGGTATACTTTCTCCTTCCCACTTACTGCTACTCTCGTTATTTCTGGAACTACACAATGCACTTCAGGATACAATTTATTTGAGAGGTGAAATACAAAACGCCACTGGACAACAGCACACATGACAGATGCCTCTTGGTTCCTACTGAGACCAATTATCAGTGGCGTATTTTCTTCTCAGTGTGTGGGGAGGCACACATGTTCATTTCAGAAACAAACAGGAGACAGGCTTCTGAGCCCACGGGTGCCTTTCTTCAAGACAAGGAAATGTACACAGAAACAGGCTTCAAACACACCCTGCCAGTACTAAAGACAACTGAAAAAAAAAAAAAAACCCTTTAGCTAAGGCAAAAAGGGAGAGAAAAGAAAGAAGATTGAGAGAAAGAAAGAAAAGATAGAAAAAACAGAAGGGGGAGGGAGAGAGAACGAAAAAGGGAGGGAGGAAATAAAAGAAATAAATAGAAAAAGGGAAAATGCAACCATTATGTGTGTTAAAGCCTTGCCCCAACTTTCTATCCAGAATTTATCTAGGTCATAGAATAAACCACTGAGGTGTCATAGTCAAAAATAAAAGCTATGCAGCTGAAAGGAAGATGCAATAAAGGAATATGCTGGGGCACCGGTGTAGCTCAGTGGTAGAGCATGCATTTAGTGTGCTGGAGGCCATGAGTTCAGTCCCTAAGAGCAAAAAAAAGAAAAAGGAAGGAAGGAGACAGAAGAAAGATGTGAAGCCTACAATCTTATAATGCCAGGATTTGTGAACCTATCTGAGTACAACTTTCCTTTTATACAAGACATGAAAGAAGCAGATCGCTGGTGGAGACTGAAGATGAAGGGCTCTTTGAGGTGCAAATGGCAACAAAACCATTAATTAAAAATATAGCTTAATATTAAACAACACAATACCATTTCTCCTATCAGATTGGCAAAATTTGAAAAGAACACAAACCCACTGTGGCAAGGGTGTGGAAATGGGCATTCTCATATATTATTGGGAGGGATATAAATTTTTTCAGTATCCAAAAAGCAATTTAGAAAGCATTATCAAAATAGTTTTCCTAAGCAGGGTGTGGTGGTGTCAGCACTCAGAAGGCTGAGCAGCAGGATCTAGAGTTCCAGGCCAGCCTAGCTTTACTAGCAAGACCCTGTCTCCAAAGAAATGTTTTCCCATTCACAGGAACAAATGTCAAACATATATCAAATAGAACAATGTAACAAACCCCATGTACTTACCATTAAGCCTAGACAATTATCAAACGGCCAATCTTAATTCAACCAATCTCTCACCTTCTTTCTCTCACACTGGATTATTTTGAACCAAAATCTATGCGGTATACATTTTCCTCTGTAAATATTTAAGTATATATCTCTAAACAAAAACGATTTTTATACTTTATTGTCATTCCTAAAACTTAGCTATTCCTTAATATTATCAAATATCCAGTTAGTGTTACAACCTTCCCAATTGTCTCATTGGATTTGTTCAAATCAGGATCAAAACAAGGTCCAAATACTGCATTGGACCTATATGTCCCTAATATCTCCTCTAATCTGTTAGCCCCCCACACACCTCTTCTTTTCCTTTATTATTTATTTGAGAGAAAAAAAAATCAGGGACTAGGGATGTAGCTAATGGTACTTCGCATGTAAGAGGCCCTGAGTTTGATACCAGCACCAAAAAATAATAAGAACAACAACAAAATCATAAGCCACTTATTGTAGAGTTTCCCACAGGCTAGATCTTGCAGTTGCATTCCTGTGTATCTTTTACCTCGTTCCATTTGTCCACCATGCTTCCTACAAGCTGGCAACTGAATCTACAGACTTGGTCAGATTCATGATTACCTGAGACGTGGTGCAATGCACCGGAAGTAAACACCACCAGAAAACACATGCTCAGGATAGTCACGAGGTTAAGTTGCTACCATTCCACTCTAGCCACTACAAAGTCCTTCATCAGCTTTTTCCTGGGGTTTTAGATCCATATTTTATTACAGGATGCAAATGGTACTATAGTTATTAGCTGGAATGCTTATATAAAGAAATTTTCCTCATCGAATAATTGATGAGGTACTCCCTGGGTACCTCCAGGAGGAAAAGCTGGATTCTTTCCCTTCATTAACCAGTTTTCAGAACAATATGGGGTCCTTAGCATCCTGAAAAAGTGACCACTGAGTTATTTTTTTCAATACCAGCATGAACGTGTGGATCTTAAATATACTTAAGTACTATAATCCATTTTCTTTGTTTGGCAATACTGAACTTTGAACTCAGGGCCTTGTGCTTGCTTGGCAGGCGCTCTGTCACTTGGGCCACATCCTCAGCCCTTTTTGCTTTAGTTATTTTTTGAACAGAGTCTTGTGTTTTTGCCCAGGCTGGCCTTGAATTGTGATCCTTCCAATCTCCACTTCCCAGTAGCTGGGATTATAGATATGAGCCACTGTGCCTGGCTAAATATTACCCTTTTGATGGGTCAAACTGTCCCACATTGGCCCCTTTAAGTTACATCTTGAGTTCCTTCCACAGGGCCCCAGCACTTTTTAACTGCTTTCCTGCATGTTGAGCAGACAAGCTCTAAGTTCATCTTATCCATCCCCTGCTCCAATGCTATAATTAATCAGCCACTTCTCCAAGGAGCCCTGACTCCTTTTACTGTACGACTACATTTGCAGACCACATGGTGGAGAGAGGGAACTCTCAGTGCTACTGCACCACTCATTGTGCCTAAACCTCAGCCAAGGCCAGAACTAGAAAACCGTTTTGTTGTTTCTTTGTGGTACTAGGGTTCAAACCCTCACATATGCTGGTCAAACATTCAATCCCAGACTGAAAACATGTTTTAAGAGAAAATATACTGTGAATTCATACTGCTTTCCCAATTCCAATTTAGAATTCTGGATTTTTATTTAATGTTTGATTCACCTATATATTTTTTCACTTTCACACAAAAACTTGGTCTTAAATAACTTAAAATGCAAATACCTTTTGGTTCTATCTTTTCTTAGGGAATTTATCCTAAGGAAATAGTCTGATATAATATCCATGACAGTGTACTTTACAGTAGTAAAAAACCAACAAAATCCCAGAGAGAGAAATAACCTACATATAAAACAGTAGATGGAAACATAAATAATAACACATCCTCTAATAGCTATACATATCTAACAATAATCATTGCTTACTTGATGGAATCAATAAATGTTCACAAAAAAACCAAAGATTATTAAAATATAATAATAATTTTCATTCAAGTTCACAGACTCCACCATGCTATTGTTCACCAATGGCCAGGGATAAACTGACCACAAATACAACAAAGGCTCCTCCTCAGAACCCTCTTTACCTGTCACAGATGGCATTAACACATTGCTGTTCAGTTCCCAAATTGCAAAATGAAAGAATATAAGTCATCCACTAAAAAATAAAAAAGCATAAAGTGCTTCCCAATGCAAATTTAATGGGACTCAGTTGTATGCATCAGTAACAGTCCGAGTGACTAGCTGACATGAGTTCACATGCCCTTTCAGAAAGACAAACAAGATCAAGTTCTGTACCCTCTTTATCACTTCATCACACTTTCACAGAACTTTGAAGAAGTCCTGCAAAGTCTCACAAGATATATTAGAAATGAGGGTAAAGGGAAAGTAAGGTTTCCAAGGAAACCAAGAACCATCTCGGATTTTCAGAAGCCCATCAAATTTATATATAACTTAACCAGGATTTTTTTTCAATATTTAAAAAAAGAATAAGTATGAAAATATTTCCAAATTTAAGGACAAAAAAACTTTTAAAACTCACTAACTCATGATTATTCTTTGAAACTTAGACCAATATCCTGCTTGTATGCTTTTTGGGGTTTTTGGTGTGTTTTGAGACAAGGTCTCACTCTGTTGCCCAGGCTGCTCTCAACCAGATGGCTCAAAGGAGCCTTAGGAGTCTATGCTTATTTGTAAATTTCTCTGACAAACCACTTTCTTTTATCAGCATATTTCAACATGTACTGATTGTAGAGTGTTAGTATTTCGTTATGTTTTGCTCCATTTCCATTAGAGTTGCTGAAGAATGTTCTTGGTACATAAGAAGCAAACATTCAGAGATGGGATAGGCAGAGGGCAGAGGGACACTCCAGGGCACCATGACCGTCACAGTACTCTCCCTGGAGACAAAGGGAAAAAGGCTGTTGGTTACCTGCTGAGCTGTAGCATCCTGTTGGACATAGGCTACCTGGCCTGGGTCTGTGAACAGAGTCTAGACAAAAAAAAGGAAAAAGAAAAAAATATTGACATCACTAGATCTTTAGACAGCTTGCCTACACAGAAAAAGATTATCCTACTGCTAAGCACCAGTTCTTGGGAGATTATCTCACATTATAGCTAGCAATCCTTCATTAATAAAGAAGATACAGATAGTAATCTTACACTTGGCTAAAGCCTATCATTAAGATGGCTCCAAAGAGATTGTCTAAGCTCGCCATCGCAAATGGCTAACATATGTCAGTATTTTACTCTTAAGCAAAACCTCCCAAGGCTGAATGTGACAGCTAGTTAAAAAGGCATGTCATGAAAACATAAAAGCCATGCCATGAACAAGAGCACATATGCTCACACCGAATGTCATGCACAAGGAGAGTGTTGTACATACACATAAGGGTTACAACTCTTTCAAATGTAAACATGTGCTTACTTACAGAAGAGAAGTAGAAGGAAAATGAATTGAACTTAATGTCTCCTGGGTTCTTTTTCAGATAAAGCCAACAGTCATAATTTTTAAGAAACCTATCATTGCAAACACAGTAAGTGGGGTCAAAACACAGCAAAGATAACTAAAGAAGGAAACTCTCAAAACTATTACAGCCAAGGCACCATAGGTAACATCTCCAGGCCAGAAAAACAGTCTCTTTTCCAAAGTTTTAAGACTTCAATAAACCAATGGGAATAAGAACTTTGGTTAAGCTTTGATTCCAGGAGAATGTAAAGTACAATTTTAGGCAGTACCAGAATTCTTAGATTTGACATTAAAAATGAACAAATGTCAGAAATTCAGGAACATCATAAAAAAAAAAATGTCATATGGACTAGGGTGTGACTCAAGTGGTAGAACCCCTGCTGCCTGCCTAGCAAGTGCAAGTCTCCAAGTTCAAACCCTACTACCACCAAAAAGAAAAGAGAGAATGTCATAATAAATTGAAAAGTTGGACACACACATTCTTTACATAAACTGTCTGATCATATTTCAATACAGGCAGTGCCTAAAATTAGGCCCAAGCATTTGAAAAGTATCATCAGGGTATTTGGAAAGTCATCTTTCTATAGATGAAGAAAGTACTGATTAGGTAAACTTCATTTCTTCTTAGAAGTGCTTTGAGCCTCTTGATTAAATATTGCAAGAGGACAAATTTTTATGACAATGACTCTACCACAAAAATAAGTAATTTGTGTTTTAAAAACATATGTTTGGCTGCTGAGGGAGTAGGTCAGTGGCAGAGCATGTGCCTACCATGCACAAGGCCCCAGGTTCAATTTCCAACACTCAAAACTAAATAAATAACATGTTTGAAAGCTCTTTGTGCACTGTACAGTGCTAACAATAAGAAAATAATATTTGTGTATTGCAGAATATTTGCATTGCACAGTTGAACACTCCAAGTCACTGACAAAAAACAAGTAGATAAATAAATAAAAGTAGCTGCAATTGTACAGCTATTACCAGTAGACACCCTGACTTCTGTTATAGTCCTACAAATTAGTTATTAATAGAAATAGGTAATGAGCTAGCAGGATCCTTTGCTTACACATTTAATTAAAATAATCTGTATGTTTTCCCTGACATCCTTTGATGAAGCTCTGCAGAACTAAGTGCCTAACTTTGGCTATTTAGGAAAAGGAACAAATTCATAATCTCATCAGTGGTCACCACAGAAAAGCTAATATGAGACTCATGCTCTAACTCTTTATTACACTTCGTTTAAATAAATAAACCATCTCTTCCTTTACCAAGTTGGTTATAAGCTTCTTGAGTGCACAAATCTTATCTGAATATTTTCTGTGCCACCAGCACCTACCATAACAACTAGCAGAGAATAAACATAAGTAATTGGTGAATTAGTTAATTATCACACAAATTAAAAGCAAATAATCCTTCACGTGCCTGTGCAGCTTCCACAGGGTGGATGTACACCAGTGTGTGCTCTGGCCCATCCACTGATGTGTAGGAGGCGCCATCTGCTGTGTACACCACCTGCTGGGGTGGACGGACCTGGTCATCGGTGTAGACAATCTGAGCCACAGTTCCGGGGTCCGGCACAAAGTGCACCTGGGGCAAAAAAGCAGGGAAGTGTGTAGCAACTATACTTATAAAACAAAATCAATCTTCCAAAGGAACCTGGCAAGCCAAGCACACCTGAGCTTCTAAAACACCAGTGAGAGAAGAGTGAGGATGAGCCTTAATTCACACTGAGCTAGAGACTAGGAGGCAGGACGCAGGGCCTTGGCACTGCATACTGCTTAATTAAGCACCTGGTCTGAATTCCCTCGCCTCAAATGTCCAATGCAGATAACTCTCTGAGGGGGTGGTTAATTGATCCTGGAAAAGTGACTCCAGATTCCAAGTGACACCACCACCAAAATACAAACTACAAGCTATTCTGTGATGTGAAAAAATATGTCAAGACTCAAAAGCCAATTGTTCTCAATAAATCATAAAAATTCCAATTTATAACCAATAGTGCTTTTCGGCAGACACATTAAAATAAGGTCACTTTCTTTCCTACAAGTTCTTTCATACTCAAAGGACATGCTAGAAGTATCTCTGGACATGTCTGCTGAATCGATCAGTGGAACAGAACTCTTCCTTGCTAGCTAAAGAAACAAACAAAAAATGACAATAAAACTAATTTAAAAGCCTAATAAAGTACTTTTAAGAAGATTCGGACAACTATTTCAGCTGTCTCCCCAGACCTAAAGAACTGAAAGCAGATACTGAGTTTTATAAAACACTTTCTGAGCAGTCAGCTCTGGAGAACTGAATTGTGAAGGCTACAGTTTGGCACATGGCCTAATGCCTGCGACTGAGGCCCGGAAGCAAATGGCCAAAGTGCACATTTAGGAGAGAAGTAATTCATGTGCTGATGTTGAAGTCAGGCACTCTCAGCTTGGAATCTTTACGCTTCCATGGACTTGGCACAAGACCTAACTATTTTATGCCAGTTTTCTTTGGTGGGAAATAATAGTTTCTGATATAAACTAACTTAGTTCCCAGAAAGAAACCTAGAGGCCAGGTACAATCAGAAATATCACCAACTTCAATTCTATACTAAATTTAAATCATTAGTCTTGCCTTCTACATACAGTTGATTTTTCTATGAAGATAAAGCTTGTAGATTGGGAAAATTAGGATCATAACATATTTGCATAGTTTTCACTGCTTTAAGATAATTTTGTGCCTTTGGATTTATAATCCTATGACTTTAGTTTTATTCAATGTTATCAAAACCCTGAACTAGTTTCAATTCTTGAGAAAGGAAGGGGTAGGGGCGTGGCTCAAGTGACAGAGCGCTTGCCTAGCATGAGAGAAGTTCAATCCTCAGTACTGCAAAATAAATAAATAAATAAGAAAAAAGGAAAAGCATTTCCTAAAAGGATAGAAGGACAGACATCCAAGCTTTCCACTTGGCCACCCTCACTCTGCAAGTAAGAGTTTGTAGAACCAGGATTCACAGCTATGAGCAGAAATGACTAGAAAGAAAGAGTGCAGTGGGGGCTCTAGACTTGGCTCTGTGCTGTTTGATTACCCATAGACGGGGGCCCTGGTCACACACAGTATCACAACCAGATTGTTTTTTGTTTTTCTTTTTGTTAAACATAATATGTAACTTCATGAAAGTAGCCTTCAAAATGGTTTCGTTGAGAACCAAAGCAGTGTTCTCAATTATTCTGGTGAAAACATCACTGGTAATGCTTTTGTTACTGTTAGTTGTTTGAAGAGGTTTCGTTGTTATATTTCTGGTCCTACTTTTTAAAGTTTTCAGACTGACAGTTTTAAATCATTTCAGATGATCAATTTTACCTATTATAATATTTGCTACATTGCTTAAATTAAATACAATATGCATATTTAAATGGTTCAAGGTTAACTGCCTGATTTTGATAAAGGTACTATTGTTATATCATGTAGTGAAAAATTGGGTAATGTGTAAAAATCAGTTTTATACTTTGGTCACATGGAGGTCATGGCTCCAAAGATTGGCCTTTACTAAGAAGAGTCAAAGAACATGGTTCTGATAACAATTTGAAAGGCAGAGACCATCATCTTAAGTGAAGTTAGCCAGGTTCAGAAAGCCAAAAGCTGCACATTTTCTCTCATAAGTGGAATATAGGCCTAATACAAATAGAAGCAATATTATGAAAAACAGGTTATACTAACAGTCACATATCAGAGAAGAAGGGTAAAAGAAGAAAGTTAAGAAGGTGAATACAGTTGATGTACTTCCTATACAAGAACGAACAGAGCTAGGCACCAGAGACTCACGCCTATAATCCAACTACTCAGTAGGCAGAGATCAGGAGGATTATGGTTTGAAGCCAGCCTAGGCAAATAGTTCATGAGACTTTATCTCAAAAAAACCCTTCACAAAAATGGGCTGGTGGAGTGGTTCAGGGTGCAGGCCCTGAGTTCAAACCCCAGTATCACAAAAAGAGTGAATATAGAATTTTTAAACCTGCTGAAATCACCATAAGGGGACTAAGGTAGAAAGGAGAAAAATGGAGGGGATGAACCAATTTGGGATATAATACATATATGCATGGAAATGTCATAATGAAACTTTCTGTATAGGAGAGAATTCTTAAACAAAAATGTCTTTTTTTCTCAAAAACAGAGAAGAGGAAGGTAAAACAGGTCCTTTCCGGGAGTAAGGGAAGAGGATACAAGGAAAGGGTGTAGAAGGTTAATATGGTGGAGATATTATGTACTCATGTATGAAAAAGGACAAATGATACCTGTTGAAACTATTCCAGGAATGGGGGAGTAGGGGGTAAGGAGAATGATGGAAGGGGTGAACAACTATGACATCTTGTAAGGACTTTTGTAAATGTCACAATGTACCCTTAGTACAACAATAATAAAAAAATTTTTTTAATTCTTATATAAAATAAATATTAGCTCAAAAAAAAAAAAAAAGCAGAGACCACATGTGACAGCAGCATTTGAATAAGTGTCTGACTGGTGACAGGTAGTTTACACATTGTAAATTTTAAAAAGAAAAAAGGCCACTTATAAACACACCTTGTCCTTCAATACTCACAAACAATCAAAGCCCTATACTGAATAACAAAAGAAACCAATGATGGTTTGAGTTTTCAGGACCAGTGACATAAAATAGCAGAGGAGTGAAGTGGACTCTGACAGTCAGCTGGAGGTGATGTCTACAGGTGTAATAAGTTCTTCTAACTCAGGGGCCCACGGTGATAGAGCGTTCACAGCTCCAGACACTCCCTCTCCAACGTGCAAGTTCACATCAGCTCCCTCCCCACCACATGCTACCACACAGGAGCTGTTATTTCTTTAGCTGACACACTGCTCTCAATCACCAGCTGGAGAAGACCACCCTTCACCTGTGTAGCACTCTGTTCGTGCTCCGTGGATGTCGGCCACACGTGTGAGCTTTCATCCTTAGAATCCATCTTCTCCCTGCTGGACAGCTCCACGTCTGTGCCTCCTACAGCAGCAGCACAGGATGGAGGACAGTCATCTGTCCAGTGTGTGTGTGCTCCTGAAGGACAGAATAGTCTTTCTGCAGTGTGCCTGCAAAGAGACAGAAAGGAACTGAGATTTTAAGTAGATGAATACATTTTAATAAATTATAGCTCCAACCACAAAGAGACGAAAAAAAGAGCTTTGTTAAAAGGCATCACATCTGGGCAAAAAGGTAAAAATGAAGAAATTATTTGTGATACAAACAATGTGTTGCATACTTGCCGTGTTCTAGGCTCTCATTGGGGTCTATGTGTGTATATATGTATATATACTGTAACCTCATTAAAAACACTGAAGATGGGTTCTGGCTGTGCTCAAATGGTAGAGCACTTGCCCAGCGTGTGCAGGGCCCTGGGTTCAATTCCCAGTGTGGGAGATGGGGGAGGGGGGAGGATCACCGAAGGTAATCATAGGTAGTTCTGTCTTCTTTTTTCTTCAGCACTGGGGTTTGAACTCAGGGCCTACACCTTGAGCCACTCCACTAGCTCTTTTTTGTGATGGGTTTTTTTGAGATAGGGTCTCCCAAACTATTTTCCCAACTGGCCTCAAACTGAGATCCTCCTGATCTCTACCTCCTGAGTAGCTAGGATTACTGTACTGGCAGGAGCCACCAGCACCCAACTCGGTAGCTTTTTAATAAAAAAAGAAAAAAGTATTTTTATTTTCAAATAATTTCAGACACAAAAGCTTCAAAAATAGTACCAAGAATTCCTGCATTTCTTTATTATGGTTCTTCAAATCCTAACATTTTACCATGTTTACTTTATTAATCTCCCCCTTTTTTTACCTGAACCGTCGGGAGAATAAGTTGTAGACACCATGCTCCTTCACCCACCAAAAAAAAATTTGTTTTGGTGGTATTGGAGTTTGAGCTCAGGGCCTTATACTTGCTAGCAGATGCTCTACCACTTGAGGCATTCCTCCAGACTTTTTATGCTTTTGCTACTTTTCAGGTTGGATTTCCCATTTTTTCATGGCCCTGTTTCTAACCATGATCTTCCTACCTACAGTTCCTGGCAGCTGTGATTACAGGCATGCCCCACCACATATTAGTTGAGATGGGGGTCTCACTAACTTTCTGCTCAGGCTGGTCTTGAAGCACAATTCTCCCAATCTCCAGCTCCCAAGTAGGTAGAATTACAAGCATAAATCACCATGCCCAGCCCCATAAAAATTGTTTTGAGACAAGGCTTCATTATGTTGCCCAAGCTAGTATAAAATTTTTGGACTCAAGTGATCCTTCTGTCTCAACCTCCTAAGTAGCTGAAACTACAAGCATGTACCATGATCTAAGAACATTTTAATTTTCTCTTTTTTTTTTTTTTGATGGGACAGGGGTTTGAATTCTGGGCTTTGCACTTGCAAAGCAGGTTCTCTACTACTTGAGCCATACCTCTGGCCCATTTTCTTCTGGTTATTTGGAGATGGGGGTCTCAAGCCATTCTCCCTCCTCCCTGGCTAGCCTCAAACTATGATTCTCTTGATCTCAGCCTCTCAAGTAGCTAGGACTATAGGCATGATCCACCAGCACCTAGCTTATGAACATTTTCTTAAATAGGTTTTTTCTGGGGGTGAGTACCAGTGCGAGGCAAGTGGGCACAAAGAAAGGGGGAATGAGGTAAATAGGCTGAACATACGTTGTATCCTTCTGAAAACAGAAGGATGAAACCTGTTGAAATTGTTCTTAAAAGGGGGATGAGGGAGAACTATGGAGAGGTAAATCTGATTAAGATATTTTGTGAGCACACATCTAAGTGTCACAATATATTCCCGTGTAAAACTATTATATGCTAATAAAAAAATTTTAGAACATTTTCTTATAACCATAATAGTATTATCAAAATCAGGAAGATAACACTAAAACAGCAATATCACCTATCTACAGTCCTTACTCAAAGCTTGTTACTAGTCTAATTAATGTCCTTGACAGTCAAAGAAATAGCATTTTTCCTTCTGGCCCTGATCCAGTCTGACATCACATACAATCACATCACATTCAACCATCATGCCCCCCAGTCCTCTTCAGTCTACCAGGCTCCTGCTCCTCCTTTCTCTCCTGTGACCTTGATATTTTTCAAATGCACAGGCCATCTGTCTTTCATAACATTCCCCAGTTTTGACTTGAAGTTTCTTCAAGATTAGATTCAAGATAAGACATATTACCCCTTCCTATAAAGGAATTTGAGGGGGTTTTTCCAACTTGGTTTTATGATGAAGCACACTCAAGTGTACACTATGCTAGGCCCTGAAGGCTGCGTGGATCAGGCAGGCACAGCCCAGAGCCCCTTACTCTCTGTTTTCACTTCTAGGAAAGTGCTTTATTTATTTACCACTGGGGAGGGTGGGAGGGATCGAAACCAGTGATAGGCAAGCACTCTACCACTGAGGTAGACTCCAGCCCTTTTTCTTTTATTCATACTTTTTTTAAATGGGTAGCAAATACAACTCAAAATTGAAAGGGCATCAAAAAAATACAGTGGACAATCACCTTATCTGGAATTCCCTAGCCACACTCATCCCATCAATTTCTTATCTTTCCTTCCAAAGACATTTTATGCACAAATAAGCAAATATAGTCTATCCCTCTCCGAGCACAAACAGAAACAACTATGGATTCCTTACAAGGTAACATCTCTTCTGCACCGTGTGTGTTCCATTAATGTCAGATCTGTGCACTGTTCCATAGCCATATCTTTATTTCTTTATTTCAGCTGCACAGTCTTGAATGGATGTATCACGATTTAGTTCATCAATCTTGCACTGATAAATCTTGTGGTTCTTTCTAATCTTTTGCTGTCACCTTCACACTGTAATGACTAGCTTTAGTATCCCATATGCTTTTGGAGTTTCCAAGGGAAGATACAAAGCAAAGTGGCTACATGCAAATGAGGCCATTATTAGTTTCTGAGTTCCCACCTTGCTGCTCACCTGCCCTGGGCCTCGTGTTTGAACCACCTGAGACACGGGACGGAGCACGGACAAGTACGTGGAGAGGCAGCAGCAGCTAGAAGAGGTCGAGTGGGGAAGGCGCCCGCTTTGCACCTGGGCGTCAGTGGCAGCTCTGAGGCTTGGCTGACCTTGAGCAAATCCCAAAAGGCCTTTAAACTTCCCTTCCTTCCATAAAATGAGAGAATGGCATGGAATGATCCATGTAAAGCACCTGGCACGACACTTGCTCCACAATAAGCAATCACTTTTCAGAGAGTTTTATAATCATGTTGCAGTTTTCTGCCCACTTGTGGCCTCTCCTAAGTTCCTTAAGGCTGGGGAATGTCCTGACGTGGCAGGACCTCTATGACTTCTGTGAGTAATATAAAGATGCCATAATGTGCACAGGGGACAGAGGAGAGGACACCTAATCCAAATGGGGCGTTGGGGGCAACCACTTGGACAAGAAGAAATTTATTAGATGAACAAGAGCAAGAAAGCAAGCCAAGGAGAGACAGGACAAGGGTTTCATATGCATTCCCTCCTTTATCAACTGCAAAAACAGGAAATAGAACCTAGGGAAAACACCACATGAGGCGAGGGGAGAACTACTTAACAAATGGGAAGAGGAAAAAAAAAAGGAATAGTTAATCCGTTACCAGGAAAGTATACCAGTAAAATTTAGCAATAAGGATATGGATTATTGCCCACAATGGCAGGTCCCAATAAATTTAGAGTACTGTTAGCAAATATGGTGTCATGAAATGCATACTTGGTCTTTGTTCCCTTTACCTGGCATGGAGATCCTAACTCCCTGGAATCTCTAAAGGGCACCTGTGTGTTAATACCATGACCTATGGCTGGCAGCCCTGGGATCTTCAGGATGGGGGCTGGTTGCCAAAGAGACCCAGGCAGGATTAGAGGGTTAGAGTTACAGCCCCAGTCCCAACCTCTGGGGGACAGAGGGAGAGAACCTGAAGATTAAGCTTATCACCAGAGGTCAATGATTGACTCAGTCATACCTACTTCATGGCAGGCCTCCCTAAAAGCCCTAATGGACAGAGCACAGGGAGAGCCCAGATAGCTGAGTCCCACGCCCCCAAACTATCCCTCTGTGTGTCTTCATCTGGTGATTTTGGTGTCCTCTGTAATATCCTTTACAATAAACCAATAAAATAAGTTTTTCCCTGGTCAGGCATGGTGGTTCACACCTGTGATCCCAGATACTTGGGAGGTAGAAAGAGGAGATCACTGTTCAAGGCCACCAAAAGCAAAAAAAAGTTAGGGGACCCTCCCTCAAAGAACAAGCTGGGAGACTGGCAGAGTGGCTCAAGTGGAAGATTGCCTGCCTAGCAAGCATGAGGCCCTGAGTTCAAACTCCAGTACTACCAAGAACAAACAAACAAAAAAGGTACTAGAACAAGCTGGGCATTAGGGTACACCCTGTAATACCAACTACACAGGCGGTGGAGGGAGGAGGGACATGGGCCAAAGTAGGCCTGGACAAAAGCATGAGATCCTATTTGAAAATAACTAAACCTAAGAGCTGGAGGTGTGGCTCAAGTGGTAGAGCACTTGCCTAGCAAGCGCAAGGCCCTAAGTTCAAATCCCAATACCCCAAAAAGTTAAAAAAAAAAAAAATCCAGAAATTTTTTTCTGAGTTCTGTGAGCCACTCTAGTATATGAATGGACCCCAGGGAGGGGGTGTGGGAAAGTCAGGGTCAGTCAGAAGCACAGACTTGCAGTTGGCACCTGAAGTGGGTGGCAGTCTTGGGGACTGAGCCCTCATCCTGTGGTACCTGAGCTAGTCCAGGTCCACTGTTTCACAGCTGAACTGGGTAAGAGGACCCCCAGCTGGTGTCAACTGTGGCAGGACTGAGGGCTGGCTTGCTGGAGGGGGGTTCCCACAGGGTTGGTGTCAGAAGTCTTCTGTGTGACTGCTGAGTGAGAGTAGAGGAGAAAGTGAATTTGTTGATCACTGTTTCTACTCACCAAAGATGGTAAAACACTAACTCAAAAATATCTGAGCCGGGGGTGCCGCTGAGTGGTAGAGCTAGATGACCTGGGTCTAATTCCCAGCACTTAAAAAAAAAAAAGAAGTATCTGGAATCAAAGCAGTG